CGGTTCGCGGCCCCATAAAGGGGGCTCCACCGCAAATCCCAACGGGCGTGTCCGCGCGCGCCCCCGCGCCCATTGCGGCGCAACCCGCGGCCAGCCCCATCGAAGGCCTCAGCGGCGCCGCTCGCGGTTGAGAGGAGGAGGAGGAGGAGGAGGAGGAGGAGGAGGAGGAGGAGGAGGGAGGAGGAGGAGGAGGAGGAGGAGGAGGAGGAGGAGGAGGAGGAGGAGGAGGAGGAGGAGGAGGAGGAGGAGGAGGAGAGGAGGAGGAGGGGAGGAGAGGAGGAGGGGAGGGGGAGGAGGAGGAGGAGGAGAGGAGGGGGGGGGAGGAGGAGGGGGGAGGGGGGGGAGGAGGAGGAGGAGGAGGAGGGAGGAGGAGGAGGAGGAGGGGAGGAGGAGAGGAGGAGGAGGAGGAGGAGGAGGAAGAGGAGGAGGAGAGGCGCCCCCCCCCCACCCCCCGGCACTGCAAGCGCCGACCACGGCTCCGCGTAGCTCTGCGGCCCGCGGGCGGGCGTCCATGGGCGTCCAGGGGGCCCGCCGTTTCTGCGACAGGCCATGTCCCCGCTCCAACGCAGGTGGGCCAGCGGGAGTCGTGTTGAGGCTCGAACCCCGAGCTTAGGGGGTTGAGATTTGAAGTTGTCCAGCTTTCGGGGTGGCGCTCGTCTCGTCGCCGCGGCCGACCGCAGCTCGAACAATTTGTCTGTTCATATTACTGGGGGACGTTCGCGGGCGGAGTTTCAAGTCGCCTTCTCGGCGGCCTCCGTTTGTTGTCGTTGTCGCAGTATGCTGTGGTGTCGGGGCTGTTTCGGTGAGGGTGTGAGAATGTGTAGCGACGAAGCCGTGACTCGATCGTCGCTCTCGCGTCCCTCGCGCTTTGCTCGCTCGCCCTGCGCTGGGCTCGTCGTTTGCTCGTCGCTGGCCCAGCGGCTCGTCGTTAACTCGTTGCCGCGGGTGCACGGGCGCGCGCGCGCGCGCGCGACCCGCGCGATTGCACCAATGTCTGCGCGCGCCGTCTGACGACGACGTCGGGTGGATCCCGTCCTGCGATTTTTTCGCGGAATTTCAAATTTCGAGGTTCGGCGAGGCCTTTCGCTTGTTTCGGCCTCTGGATGCTGTCTTCGGCCCTCGGGTCGTCAGATGTTGATCCGGGGCGGGGGGGCCGCGTCGGGCGGGCCCTGGGAGGGGTCGGGGGGCCGACTTTGAGCCGACGTCGGTCATCCAGGAGGACGAGGAGGAGGCGCGCGGGCCCGGTTCCTGGAGGCGCTTGACCTCAGGAGTGGCCTTGTCAAAGATGCCGAGGGGCAGATCGCGAACAGCGTCGTGGACCCTCGGGGCGGGGGCGACGTCGAGAGAACCGAGACAGACGGGAAGAAGAGGATCTATCTGAAGCGCTTGCCGCTGGGGTTCTGGGCGCGCATGGAGAAGTACGCGAGCGCGCCCTTCGCGGGCGACCTGGGGCGCCGCGGCGACAGCCTCGCGGGGGACCTCGCGGGCCCGCCGGCGTTCATCGCGCCCCGCGCGTCGGGGCCTTTCACCATCCGCACGGAATTCCTGGATCTTTCGGGCGGGCGCCCCGTTCTCGCGCGGTAGGGCCACCGCCGCGGCGGCGTGCCGGGGGCGCGCGCCGCGCGAGAAGGCGGCGGGGCGAGGGGGCGGCGCTCCCGGGCAGTCTACGGCCGAACCGACTGGGCGCGAGCGGTCCGCAGCCAGGCCTTCTCTCGTCCTGTTGGCTCTCGCCTTGGGCGTCGGCCGTCTGGCGCGCTGACCCTTCGGTCGGTCGACGTCGCCCCGGCGCGGCCCTGGGCAGCGGCCGCCGCGAGGTCGGGAACGGCGAGAAGGAGGGCGACGACTGGCGGTCGGAGCTCTACGCGCTGCTCTCGCGCGCCACCCGCCACGAGGACCTCCCGCCCACGCGCGCGCCGCGCGTCGAGTTCTGCCCGGCAGGGTCGCCGGAGGGCTCGCGGAAGCAGCTGGGGCAGCTTGCAGCGCGCGCGAAGCGGCGCAGGAGGGAGGCGACGGCCCCGGTTTTTCGTATTTTTCGACTGACGCGGCCCAACGGTTCTCAGATGGCCCCCGGACGATCCAAGAGAGCCTCGAGACGGCTCCAAAGGCTTTCCAGAGGCTCCCGAGACGGCCCCCAGGGGCAAAACAACATTGATTTGCCCATGGTTTGGCAGGTTTTATGGGTTCTTACTTTCTCGGGCCAAGAACATTCCAAAAACGGCCCATGAGGCTCCGAAGATCGTCTCAAGACGGCCCCAGAGGCCCCCGAAAAAGGCCCGACGACATTCCAAGACGGCCCCAAGACAGCCCCAGAGGAGCCCCGAACGGCCCGAAATGGCTCCAAGACGGCCCAAGAGGGTTCCAAGACGGCCCCAGGAAAGTCCGAAGATGGCTTAAAGAGGCTATCAAGAGGGGCCCCACAGGCCCCCGAGAGAGCCCCAAGACGGCCATTGGCCTCCAAGACGCCCCCAAACGGCCCAAAAGGGTTCCAACACAGCCCAAATGTGCCCCAAAAGGCCTCCCCAAAGGGCTCCAAACAGGCCCCCGCGAAGACCCCGACGAGGCCTCATAGACAATCAAGAACGCCATGGCTCCCATCAGAGAGCGGTGACGCAACAAACTCTTGACACCAAACCTCCCCAGAGCGCGGTGACGTAAAAGACTCGTCACACCAACGTTCCCAAGAGCGAGCGGCAACGCACAAGTTTTTGAACGCTAGGGCTTCCAACGGAGAGCGGCGACGCAACAAGTTCTTCGCACCAAGGCTCCCAAGCAGGTGACATAAAAATCTCATCACGCCAAGGTTCCCAAGAGCGAGCGGCAACGTGCACATCTTTGAACACCGGGGCTCCCAACAGAGAGTCGTGATGTAACAAGCTCTTCCCACCAAGGCTCCCCAGAGCGAGCGGTACTGTGACAAACTCGCGCACGCCAAGGCTCCCAAGAGTGAGCGGTGACGTAAACAACTCTCAACGCCAAGGCTCCCGAGGGCGAGCGGCAACGTACAAATATCTGAACACCAAGGCTCCCCAGAGCGAACGGTGACGTTACAATCTCTTACCACCAAGGCTCCCAAGAGCGAAAGGTGCCGTGAGCCCTCTCGGGCAAGCTCCTGGTCCGCTCTTTCCGTTCCCGTGCCGGCCCATGTAACGGAAAGAGCGTGGTACGAGTGATGACGTTGTGTTTGGGCGAAGCAAAACCCTGAAGGGAAGGGTTCCACGGGAGGGGGCAGGGGGGGAGGGATGTGATCTAATGGCTGTTGTCGGGTTGTCCTCGGGTTTTTGTATGCTTTTCGGGTTCTCCCCTTTTCCGTCCCAGAAGAGCCCCAGACGGCCCCAACGATCGGCCCAAGAGGCTTCCGAGGCGCCCCGAGATGCGCCCAAGAGGCGCCCCAAGAGGCCCAAATCATTGATTCCCCATAGGAAACGTACATTTCAGCATCTACGGTTTCGGCTTCCACGGCGTTGACGACGGCCCAAGAGACCCCAAGACCGCCCCAAGACGGCCCAAGATGCTCCCAAGGGGCCCCCAAAACAGCCCAAAAGGGTTCCAAAACGGACCAAGAGGCGCCCAAGACGGCCCCAAGAGGGGGGCCGCGAACCGAAAAGTCTAGCCTTTCGCCCGAAGAAACTCCCAGGACGCCCCAAGAGCCCCCCAAGAAACCCCAAGAGGCCCCCAAGAGGCGCGTCCCAAGAGGCCGCCAGGAGGTCAACATCATTGATTTCCGATAGGAAGCCATACATTCTAAGCATACACGGCTTTTCGGCGATCACGGCGTTGAAGACGGTCCAAGAGGCCCCCAAGACCGCCCCAAGACGGCCCAAGAGGCTCCAAGAGGCCCCCAAAACGGCCCAAGAGGGCCCCAAGACGGCCCACGAGGCTCCCAAGAGGGCCCCAAGACGGCCCCAACAGGGGGACCACGAACCGAAAAGTCTAGCCTTTCGCCCCAAGTAGCTCCCAGGAGGCCCCAAGAACCTCCCAAGAGGCCCCCAAGAGGCCCCCAAAGGAGCTCGAAAAGGGCCGCAATAGGACTCCTAAGAAGGCCCAGAGACACCAAATCAAGAGCGATCGGTAACGCAAAAAGCTCTTCACAGCAAGGCTCCCAAGAGCGAACGGTGACGTAAACAAGCTGATACGACCAAGGCTCCCAGCAGGGAGCGGTGACGTAACAAGTTCCTGACACCAAGCCCAGCCAAGGCTCAGGAACGGGCGGCAACGCAACAATCTCTGAACACCAAGGCTCCCAAGAGCAAGGGGTGACGTAACAAGTTCTGAACGCCAAGGCTCCCAGTACGAACGGTGGTGTGAGTAATTTCGGTTTCTCTTTCTGAAGCGCTCTTTCCGTTTCTGTGCCAGCCCCGGTCTCATGGCCCTCTTGTAGTTTTGCAGCGCTTTCAGTATAGACAGCATGCTCGCTGTCGCATTCACGTCGCTCTTGGTGCCAGTAGGGGCGAGGGAGAGGGAACGAGGCCCAGGGCAGGGCATGGGGAGGAGTGGCGGGCGGGATGCGAGGGCAGTGGGAGTGGTAAAATGGGCTGCAGGAGAAATGTGTGGGGACTTGCACCAATCGGCGGCGAGCAAGGGGGGACGTGAGAAGACGGGCCTTCTCAGAAGGCTCGGAAGTCCCCCGGCTTTCTGAGACGTTCTCGGAAGGCGGCGGGGCTTCTCAGAAGCATTCGCGCCTTTTGAGAAGCCGAGTAAGCCTTCCCCGAAGACGCAGAAAACGTCTCAGATGGCGCGAGGGCTTCTGAGAAGCCCCGCCGCCTTCTGAGAAGGCCTTCTCCTTCTCACTTCCCCCCCTCGCTCGCCGCCGAACCAAGACCCTCGAGTCAGTGCCGCTCCTTCGCCGAGCAGAGCGAGCCGCCGCGTGCACCGGCTCAAGACTGCGGGCGGTCCCGCCCGGCAGCGCGAGTGTGGCCCGTGAGTAAGGCTGCTTGCGGTGACCGCCTTTTGTGCCACGTCCCGCGCCTTTGCGAGGATTGGTGCGCGGCGTCGCTGCGGCAATGGTGGCAATCCCGGGGTGAGGGCGATGGGCGAGAGGTGTCGGACATCACTGGATGAGTGTGACTGCAATGGGGATCGGAGGAGGTAAGAAAGGACGGGAGGAAGGAAGGGATATGGGAGGGAGAAAGAGATAAAGAGAGGGAACGAGGGAGGGAGGAAATGAAGGGCACCTGCTTGGGGGCGGAGGAGTGGATGGAGGGAGGGGGCGAGAGAGAGCGGATGAGTTTGGGCGGAGGGGCAGGTGGAGCAGGATGACTCGAGGGTGGAGAAGGAGCAGGTGGAGGTTTGGACTGAACCACGCTTGGTGGCTCGCTCTGCCGCCCGATCATCCCTGGCATGTGGAGCTCTCAGGTCATCGCCGTGGGCCACACCGTCGCACATTGCGGGGCAGGACTTACGTGTAAGTCGAGCGTGTCCCTCTACAGGAGGAATATCCCAAAGTAGTCGGACATACTCTGGGGACGATTGTTTGATTATTTTTCTTCCAAGATCCGCCTGTAGGGGGACATGCCCGACCTAAATCTATATTGGAGATGCCAGCGTTTGAGCTCAGATGGGGGCCCGAGCTCTCCCCTGGGCTCAAAGCAGCAGCGCACATTGCACACGGAACCGGTCGAGCCCAGGCTGCCTTCTCTGCTGCCCTCTCCGCTGCCCTCTCCGCTGCCCTCCCCGCTTCCAGTATCCTCCGCCTCGCTCCTCTCCGCTCCGTCTCCTCTCTTCGCGCCGAGGTTGGAGGGGGGACGCGGAGGAGGGGGGTGGGGGGACGGGGGGGGGGAGGAGGTAACTGTCCTCCCTTCCTGGAAGTGGGAGTGGGGTGGGGGGTGGGGGGGGGAGGAAGGGACGGGGACGGAGGGAGGGGTGAAGGAGGAGTGGGAGGGGGGAGGAGGAGGGGGGGGTGAGGGGAAGGAGGGGGGGGAGGAGGCAACTGTTCTCCCTTCTGGGCGCCAGCGACGCTCAGAAGAAGACGTTTGTCCAGGCCACCCGCGCCGTCCAGGCACCCGCAGCAGGCAGCACAGTATGCGTTACCGTCGTCAGTAAGTCCACGATGGTTTCTCTTTCCTCCAGGCCCGTGTGCATGCATGCGTGAATATGTTCCTCCGATCTTTTCCGAGGTGCTGCCGTCGCTCGGCAGGGGCCTCCCGTGGTCTGTGCTTCTGGGGCAGCGCTCCATGGCCATCACCCGCGCTGGCTATTTGCGGGTTGGGCGCGTTGGCGGCTGCCGATCCAGGGCACGGGTGCAAGGTTGCACGCTGTGCGGTCGCAGCGGCGCGGCCAGGGGTAACTTATGCGGTTCTGTGCCCCGCACTGGACGGCCCGTCTGGCCACACCAGGACTGCCCCGTGCTGCTCTGTGTCGCCGGTGCCGTCCCAGGAGGTTCTGTCATCCCTGTTGCGCTTGGCGCCCGGGCAACCAGTCCATTGCGAAATTGTGCTGCTGGGTCCACGCTGGAGACTGGCCCGCTTTTGGCGTGGCTCGGGCTCGTGATGTTGCTTGCATGGGGCACGGTCCTGTGCTTTCGTCACTCTTTCGCGTGTGATGCCTTCAGAGTGGATGTGAGTACCGCGTGCTTGTGGTCACATGTATATGTACGTGTGTGTATATCCCTCCTTGGTCTGGCGTATCCTGCTTTTTCATGCGTTTGCTTTCCTGCGCCGCGTGTCCTCAGCTGCACAGCGGTCGGCTATGTCGGATTTTATGTGCCTCGGCCGCATTCCGGCTCGGTAGTTGTGAGCCAGCGATTTCTTGCCATCGCTGTGTCCACCGAAATCGCGTGTGTGTGTGTGTGTGTGTGTGTGTGTCTGTGTGTGTGTGCGTTTGCCCGTCATTGGCGTGCGTGCGCTGCCTTCTGGTGTGCGTGTGTGCGTGCGCGCGTGCGCGCGAGCGTGCGGCCAGAAGATGCGCCTGCGTGTGTGCGGGCGGGCAGTCGGCTTGAGTTGAGGAGGAGGAGGAGGAGGAGGAGGAGGAGAAGTCGCAGGCCTAGAGGTTGACACCAACACCAATTTCGGCGGTGTGCCTCCGTTCCACCGAGGGAAGAAGATCCCGATCTCGGTGATGGTGGTAATATTCTGGCTTCCAAGATGGCCGAAAGATTGCCACTAACACCGACATCTAGGATCATCTTCCCCTGTGGAGGCAACCCCCTGTGTTGGTGTTGGTGCCGATTTGCAGGTCTCCAAAAAAGGAAGATACGAAGGCGGAGGAGTAGGAAGAGGATGAGGATAGGGGGAGGAAAGCGGGGATGAAGAGGAGGGGGATCATAGGCTGAAGCGCGTGGACATGTAGTAATCGGGTACAGCGAGGACCACGAGTGAGGGGGCCGGTTAGTGATTGGGCCCTGAAGCCCCCCAAAGTTGCCAGAAGCACTGAACCAAGTTAGCCGTAGCTGGTTCCTTTTCGGGTGACGGCAGCTCCGGTTAGTGGCATGGGGCGGGGTGTCGTCCCCTGGTACACATCAGTAAACCAGGTCTCATTAACCCGGAGAAGCAGTTAAGAACCCCCCCACTCCCCCCTCTCCGGCGAAAGTATAAAGCACGGGGCACCTCAGAAACGCTACCCTGGCGCCTCACACCTTTATGTGAACGCAGACGAGTCAGCTCGCCGAAACAAGCACACCGCTTGAGACATTCTCGCAATATTATGGCTCTTATTCGCCATTACGGATCAAGCCAGGGGCCAAGGCCTCAGTCAACAGGCCTTGGCCCAGCTAAATAGAAACTAGCTTTGCGAAGGACCCAACCATATGCAGTTGTGAATACCGCAATTGCGAATACCATCTTCGCCCGCGCTCCCTATGTGGCCACGGCTCCCCGCCGGAGCCCGACATGCTCAGTAACACGTTCGTGGCTGTCTTCGCGGGCGCCGACGACGATAATGACGGCGTCCCTCTGACCAAGGAGCAGAAGCAGGAGAGGGCTTTGAGAGCCATGAGGGAGGAGGCGTCGGTGCACGTCGAGAAGGCGGAGTACGACGCCCAGACGCGGTTGTTAAAGCAGCACAACTATGGGGCCACGATCCTCGTGAGGGGTGTGCCATCATGGCCCGGGGCCGCCATGGGAACCCTGCCATTGGGGCCTTCGGTGGAGCTCCCTATTGGGCCACGATCCTCTGAAGGGTGTACCGAAATGGCCCGAGGCCGCCGTGCGAACCCTGCCACTGGGGGCCTTCGGTGGAGCTCCCTATGGGGCCACGGTCCTTGTGAGGGGTGTGCCGAGATGGCCCGAGGCCGCCGTGCGAACCCTGCCACTGGCGCCTTGTGGAGTTTCTTTATGCGGCTACGATCCGCGCGAGAGATGCGCCGAAATGGTCCGAGGCCGCCATGCGAACCCTGCCACTGGCGCCTTCGGCTGAGTTTCCCTATGTGGCTACGATCCTCGCGAGAGATGTGCCGAAATGGCCCGAGGCCGCCGTGCGAACCCAGCCGCTGGCGCCTTCGGTGGAGTTCCCTATGTGGCTACGATCCGCGCGAAGGGTGTGCCGAAATGGCCCGAGGCCGCCATGAGAATCCTGCCATTGGGAGCTCCGGTGGAACTCTCTATGGGGCCACGATCCTTGTGGGGGTGTGCCGAAATGACCCAAGGCTGCCATGCGCGCTTTGCTACTGGCGCGATTTGACCCGAGGCCGCCATGCGCACTTGGCTACTGGCGCCTTCGGTGGAGCTCCCATGGGGCCACGATCCTCGTGGGGTGTGTGCCGAAATGGCCCGAGGCCGCCATGCGCACTTTGCTATTGGCGCCTTCGGTGGAGCTCCCTATGGGGCCACGATCCTCGTGAGGGGTGTGCCGAAATGGCCCGAGGCCGCCATGCGGACTTTGCTACTGGCGCCTTCGGTGGAGCTCCTATGGGGGCACAATCCTCGTGAAGGGTGTGCCGAAATGGCCCGAGGCCGCCATGCGCACTTGGCTACTGGCGCCTTCGGTGGAGCTCCCATGGGGCCAAGATCCTCGTGAGGGGTGTGCCGACATGGCCCGAGGCCGCCATGCGCAGTTTGCTATTGGCGCCTTCGGTGGAGCTCCTATGGGGCCACGGTCCACGTGAGGGGTGTACAGAAATGACCCGAAGCCGCCATGCGCACTTTGCTAGTGGCGCCTTCGGTGGAGCTCCAATGGTGCCACGATCCTCCTGATGGTGATGATGATGATGATGACGACGATGCGAGGAGGAGGGACGGGGCAGCGGGAGGAGGAAGGAACGCAGGGCGCTGTCTCTTCAAAACGAGGACCCAACACCACAGGATGGTTGGGACAAATATTCCCCCTCCTCCTCCTCAAGACCCCCTTCCGTCACGGCACCAACACGAACAACGACAATATTGCCAGCAATATGACTTAGATCTAGAACAACAAGGCCAATAACAATACCAACAACATCAACATCAAAACCACCAACAACGCCAACACCAACAATAACAACATTAAGTCCCACGCAAGGGATCGCCCAACTTGTTCGGGAAAAAAACGCGTCCGTGCCTACGATGGGGAACGAATATGTTTGGTGGTGCGGGTGCTAAGATAACGCGCCGTGCGTGGCGATGGCGATATCCTCGGATGCACTACCCCACACGACGGCCGGGAAAAACACGTGCTCCAACAGGGGTGGTAACACAAATCGTATAGGACAAGGGTGATGAGGATACTGAGACCAAGCTCTTCTCTCTTATTATTGCTACGATTCGTATAATGATTCGCATTCTGATTTTTATCATTATTTGAATTGTGATTCTGAATGTTATTATTCCTTGGTTTATCATTGTCGTTAGTCTGATTATTTTTCTTATTATTATTAGTATTATTATTCGGATGGTGATTTTTATCATTGTTGCTATAATCAGTCTTACTCTAACTATTACAGTTAGTATCTTCATAACTGCCCTTACTATGAGCCTTATTACTCTTCTTACGAATGGTCGTGTTATTATCTTAATTATGGTTATTAATGTCAGTCTTATTCCTAGTATGTTCTTTATTCGTAGTCTTATTCTGAGTATTTCTGTTATCCAAAACCTTATGCTGGTTATGCTACTTATTAGTATGCAGGTTATTATTGTTATTATTATTCCCAATTCTATTACTACTCAACCATTATCCTTATTATGACTCCTTCTTCTTAGTATTAGCGTCAGTAATATTATTGTTATTGTTTTTACTCGTATTTTTTTAGTAGTCCTCCGTTTACTTGTAATATTATGATTATTATTATTGATCTGACTGGACTTTTTTGTCATTTTGTTTGACAAATTGTCGTAATTATTGTGTGCGGGTGCGGTGCCAAGCCGCCGCGCCGTGCGCGGCGGGGGCGACATCCACGGATGCACGACCCCACACGACGGCTGGGAGCAAACAATTTTTCAACAGGGGTGGTAACACAAATCGTATAGGACAAGGATGATGAAGATAATGAGGAAAACAAGCTAACATACGGTTGTTTTCATTATGAGTATAATTATGAGTATTGTTATTCTGATTCGCACTATTACCATGACTACTATTATTATTGGCACATCCGCATCCTTATTTGGATTATGGTTATTATCCTTATTCGCATTCCCACGCGTATGACTACTCTTATTACCATTATCAATACTACTCTTATCATCATTCCTGTTCTTTCTCAAATTGATTATTCACATTGCTAGTATTATTACCATTCTTATTACTCGCATGCCAATTTTTTCTTAGTCCAAATCCAATTGGGATGTCACCCGAGCCAGGGCGCAGGATTTTTTATGTTCGTTCATCTGCGTGGTGCTAACTGTATCGTTCGGCGAAAACCGCCCCCCGGAAATATTTAATTACGGTGCGGTACTACTGATAAACCCGGGGGGGGTCCTCAATATCTTGATGAGGTTAATCCCAGTCACGCCAACGCCCGAAGCAAGCTGGCGGCCCGACCAACAATTCAAAGAAAGCCAAGAATGCAACACCAAGAATTGATTCGAGAAAACGTTTTACCAGAACTATGCAGATGAGTTAATATGATGTGCTTTGTTGGTTTGCTATTTCAGGTATTGTTGGTAGGCTTGTTGGAATTCTCGGTATCGGGGGGGTGCACCACCCTTCGGCTGCATTATTGGTTTTCTCGAAATGTATCGTGTAAGGCAATCGTGCCGCTCAAGGGTGGTGCAGCACTCACCCTCATACCAAGAATACCAAGAATGCATAGTCAACCATACCAAACATGCCAAGCATCGAAACCGCTCGGTCCTGCCAGCGGAGAGTGGACAGAATTGTTGGTGTCTAAAATTCTTGCCCCTGGGGCGCAAACACTCATGGTTTTGAATTCTTGGAACTCTATGTTGGCTTCCGGCTGGCTACAGACCCGCGCCCTTCAGATCCTAGGCAGAGGAGGAAAAGTGGGGAGCAGGAGGAGGAGGAGGAGGCGGAGGAGGAGGAGGAGGAGGAGGAGGAGGAGAGGGGGGAACAGGAGGGAAGGAAGGATGAGGATCATGATGAGGGGTGGGGGCGGAAGCGAGAGGTCCTCAGCGTCGACATCTCTGTTGTCTCCGTGCGACGGATAATTTCACAGACCAGCTCGGAAACGTTTTCTCGAGCTGCTTCGATAGAAGCTGCCTGGCCACATCTTGCGCCACCGACAACTCGTCGGCTCGTCGGTACCATGTTCGCTCGGAGGCCGTAAAAGCCGTGGGCCCCAGTGCGTTCACCAACGGTGAGCGCACGTCGCATACAGAGCATCTGGTCTGGCTCGTTCAGTGGTAAGCCCCGTGCCAGTCTGATTTCTTGCCGCTGTGATTGTCACCCTGCCCGCCTGCAGCGGGGTGGTGTGCCACGCAGGTGGGGCGCCACCTCTACCTGGGAGTCGTTTTCGAATGCTTAGCGAGAGCCAAAGTTACCCAGACCGTGCTTGCACGTACGTAGGGTTTAGTCGGGCTTGTTCCTCTACAGGGGGAACATTCAAATATAAGAAGAAATAGTCTGGGGACTAGTGTTCTATCATTTTTGTATAAGTTCGAAGTTTTTTTGAGGTGTTTTCTTTTTCCCAGCCATCCTGTGGTGTTGGGTCCTCGTTTTGAAGAGGCGGCGCCCCGCGGTCTCCTCCTCCCTCCTCCTCCCGCTGCCCCCTCCCTCCGCCCGCTACCCCCCTTCACTTCAGCACACCCCTCACACGCTTCGTGGCCCCATAGGGAGCTCCACCGACGGCCCCACTGGCACCGCCCGCATGCGTCACGAACCACCCAGTACAGCGCTTCGTGGCCCCATAGGGAACTCCACCGACGGCCCCAGTGGGACCGCCCGCATGCGTCACGCACCACCCAGTACAGCGTTTCGTGGCCCCATAGGGAGCTCCACCGAAGGTCCCAGTGGGACCGCCCGCATGCGTCACGCACCACCCAGTACAGCGCTTCGTGGTCCCATAGGGAGCTCCACCGAAGGTCCCAGTGGGACCGCCCGCATGCGTCACGCACCACCCAGTACAGCGCTTCGTGGCCCCATAGGGAGCTCCACCAGAGGCCCCAGGGGCACCGCCCGCATGCGTCACGCACCACCCAGTACAGCGTTCGTGGCCCCATAGGGAGCTCCACCGAAGGCCCCAGTGGGACCGCCCGCATGCGTCACGCACCACCCAGTACAGCGCTTCGTGGTCCCATAGGGAGCTCCACCGAAGGTCCCAGTGGGACCGCCCGCATGCGTCACGCACCACCCAGTACAGCGTTTCGTGGCCCCATAGGGAGCTCCACCAGAGGCCCCAGGGGCACCGCCCGCATGCGTCACGCACCACCCAGTACAGCGTTTTCGTGGCCCCATAGGGAGCTCCACCGGGTCCCAGTGGGACCGCCCGCATGCGTCACGCACCACCCAGTACAGCGCTTCGTGGTCCCATAGGGAGCTCCACCGAAGGTCCCAGTGGGACCGCCCGCATGCGTCACGCACCACCCAGTACAGCGTTTCGTGGCCCCATAGGGAGCTCCACCAGAGGCCCCAGGGGCACCGCCCGCATGCGTCACGCACCACCCAGTACAGCGTTTCGTGGCCCCATAGGGAGCTCCACCGACGGCCCCAGTGGGACCGCCCGCATGCGTCACGCACCGCCCAGCACAGCGCTTCGTGGCCCCCGAAGGTACCAGTGGGACCGCCCGCATGCGTCACGCCCCACCCAGTGCAGCGTTTTGTGGCCCCGTAGGGAGCCCCACCGACGGCCCCACTGGCACCGCCCGCATGCGTCACGCACCACCCAGTATAGCGCTTCGTGGCCCCATAGGGAGCCCTACCGACGGCCCCAGTGGGACCGCCCGCATGCGTCACGCACACCCAGCACAGCGCTTCGTGGCCCCATAGGGAGCTCCACCGACGGCCCCAGTGGGACCGCCCGCATGCGTGTTTTTCGTTGCCCCAGAGAAGCTCCACCGAAAACAATACCCATAATTGTGGTATTCACAACTACGTATGGTTGGGTCCTTCGCCAGGCGAATTTTGTCGTCCAAAATCCCCCTGCAGGGGGGCATGCCCGACCTAAACACAGGGTTTCTTGCTTCTCTCATAACAAACCGGCCCTGTGCGCCAGTTCGGCCGGCTCGTAGCCGCCCGTCGCCGCCGCCCGTCGGCGCACCATTGTGTTCGCGATTTTGATTGCGGGAGGCTCGCACTTTGCATTGCCGTGCGTTGCGCGGCATTTATTTGAATCGTTTTGTATTCATGTGCATTGCGCTGCATGGCGTTGCCTTGCTTTGCATTGTTTTGTGCTGCTTTGTATCGTTTTGCATTGCGTTGCTTGCCGTGTATTAACTTTCATTCAGTTGCATTGCGTTGCATTGCTTCGGATTGAGTTGCATGACGTTACATCCCATTGCATCGCACTACATTGTGCTGCGTTGCCTCGCATTGTTTTGCATTGTGTTGCATTGCTTTGCATTGGTTTGCATTGCTGTGCATGGTTTTGCATTGCTGTGCATTGCTGTTCATTGCTGTGCATTGCTTTGCATTGGTTTGCATTGCTCTGCAATGCATTGCGTTGCGTTGCATTGCGTTGCTTTGCGTTGCGTTGTATTGCTTTGCATTGCTTTGTATTGGCTTTAAATCGTTTGCATTGTTTTTGGCATTGTTTTGCGTCGCATTGAATTGCATTGCGTTGCATTGCGTTGTATTGGTTTGCAGTGCGTTGTGTTGCGTTGTATTGCTTTGCATTGCTTTGTACTGTTTTTCAGTGGTTTGCGTTGCTTTGCATTGCTTTGTGTTGCTTTGCACTGCTCTGGGCCACATAGATTGCACCACTAGGCTTGCACCACCTAGATTGCACCACATTGATAGCACCATCCAGCATGCACCGCACAGGTTGCAAGGAAACACTGATTGTGGTCCACGCTGGCTAACGTCGTTGACCATGTTGTTGCTGTCGTTTTCCCTGTTTCACATGTGCCCATGTGTCCTCATTCCTCTTGTGTTATTCCTCTCCCTTCAGTCCTGCTGCTCTTGAGTTTGTTCCTGCTGCTGCAGCTTCTGTCATATACCTACGCAGTGACATGCTTTCTCCATGCACTCCATTCATTAAGTTTTGTGCAGGTATGTGTTGGGAAGGGGACAGGTGGTCGTGCGCACTGGGAACCAGCAGCATCATGATTGGTGGACACAGGCATCATTGGTCTCCCAGCCTGAAAAGGAGGGGCGACAAGTAAGAGAGCAGGTAGAGATGATATGGGGATGGTTGAGAATGTGGATGGGAAGATCATCAAAACCGGTAGCGGCAGTGACAGGAGGAGCAAACGCAAGTGTCGAGGGCGCGCAAAGGCGTATAGGTACAAGTTTAGCTCTAACAGTTTCGCGTGTTTCAAATGTTCCTGACTCTTTAGAAACGGGTCCGCCGAGCATGCCAGGGGATTGTCGAAACACAGCTGTCTCGAGGAAGGAGTGCCAGCCCTGCGTCACGCTTCGTATTCTGCTCGCCTGGGTAGGGGGAGCCAAATCGGTAGAAGTCGCACTCTCGGATTCTGTTGTGCTGCGTTGAAGCTTAGGCGGGCTACCGATGAGAGCGTTGAGGATTGTGCTGGGAAAACATGAGGAGGTGTCTGCCTTGTGCTAGCTGTGCGGCGGTCCTACAATTCCTCGTTTCTGGCAGGGCATCCGCCATTGAGCTCTTACCTTGGGCAATCTTACCCATTGATGTAATCGTCACTCCGGAGAGCACTTGCTGCCCAAGTCGTTCGCTACCAAGAAATGCCAGTTGATATGCATCTTAGTCTTGAACGGGAGACACATGCCCGCCCCCAGGAAGTGAGCAGGATGCGATTCCGCGGGGTTGCAGGGTTCCAGCCAGCGCGTCGCTCGCTTGATGACAGCGTTTGCGAGCGCTCACACGGCTACAGCGGGCCGAGCTGGCTGTCGTTTGAGGGATCCTGGCCCGCGTCGAGCTCTGGGCCATGCGGCTCACTTATGAATCCTGTGCCAGCGAGACAGATTGTTGCAGTGCCTGCAGCCGCTGTTCAGCGAGTGCGCTCTGCCTGCTCGTGCGGGTCCAGACCCATGCGCGTTGTTCGTGCAGAACCCTTTGGCTTCGGCAGCTGGCAACTCTGACCACTCAGAAACCTGACAATCCGAGTCTGGGTCGAGGCTTCGAGCTCTTCTGGCTTGCATTGATTCCAGGCTGAACGCTTGAACGCCATCTTGAGGGCCCCCCCACGAGGTCCCCACAGTCCATAGCGTTCAGGACAAGTCCCGTACTTGCGTTTTCTTGTGCCACCCTCTGATTGTAGCCAATCGTTTCATGCAGGAATCCAGAGACCCCCAGCAGGTTTACTGACAGAGATCATGCCATTGCTGGTATGGCTCAAGGCAAGCATCCGAAGAAAAGATCTCGCCATGGTAGCGGAGCCGTGGCCCCGACCCTCCCAGTCCACAGGGTCGGGCTCCGCGGCTCCCTCTCCCGCCAGCGGCGCGGGGAGCCCCAGCAGCCTGGGGCCGGCCGCCGGTGCGGGAGCCGCAGCAGGGCCTGCCGGGCCCAGCTCCAGCGAGGGCGACGAGTGGGAGCTCGTCGAGGCCCATCGAGGCTGGAGGAGAGTGGCGAGGCAGCTACGCAAGCTGTTCAGGCTGAGGAGGACCTGGGCAGCGCTGGGCCAGCACCTGAAGGATTTCACGAAGTTGCGCGCGAACCGCCGCTGAGATGGCGGAGGAGCGCGTGCAGGCTCTAGAGCAGCAGATGATAGCGCTGGCCCAGGAGCTGCAGAACCGCCAGCAGAGGGAGAACGATCTCACGGCCGAGGTGCAGCGGCTCGGCCGTGTGGCCGAGGCTAGACCACGGGTGGACGGGCCTGTGCCACAGCCTCGAGCCGAGTCGCTCGTGGACACCCGCACGCTGGGCAAGCCAGACGTGTTCACGGGCGAAGAGCACAAGTGGAACGATTGGAAGGTGATTTTCAAGGCGTACTGTGGCGTCGTGAACGCCGACTTGCTGGCAGGGATGCGACTGGCAGAGAGCGCTGACGAGGCCTCAGTTCAGAACGATGATTTCCTCGAGGAGAACATGAGGCAGGCCTCGCAGCAGCTGTATTACATCTTGCTCCTCCTCTGCCGGCAGCATCCCCTGACGACGATCGTGAATGCTGGCGAGAATGAGGGCTTCCAGGCTTGGCGCAAGCTGGTTGAATACTACGAACCGAATGCGAGGTCCCGCATCGCGGGGCAGCTGCTGAATCTCCTGAACTTCTCGTTCACTGGCGATGTCGAGGACCAGCTGGCGCTGTTCGAGCGAGAGCTCCTCAGGTACGAGCAGAGGAGCGGCGAGGCCATCACAGCCCCCATGAGGATCGGCATCGTCCTTCGGCAGCTCGAGGAAGGCCCTCTACGCCAGCACCTCTTGCTCAATGCGACCAGGCTGGTGGAGTGGCAGGACTTCCGACGTGAGGTCACCGACATCCGCCGTGCCCAGAGCGCCATCGCCCCGGTGCCCGTGCCCATGGACCTGAGCGCGTTCACCGAGGGTGACGGCAAGGGCAGGTTCAAGGGCGACGGCAAGGGCAAGAGCAAGTCCAGTGGCAAGGGCATGAGCAAGGGCGACAGCAAGGGCAAGTCCAAGTCCGACGGCGAGAGCAAGACCAGCAGCAAGTCACATGGTCAGCAGCTCGGGCCACTCTGCTGGGGCTGCGGCGGTCGCGGCCACACTCAGCGTGAATGCCCGAGCAAGCACAGGGGGGCGTTGGCGAGCATGGAGCAGACGCTGGCTCGCATCAACGCCTCCCAGTCGACGAGTACGACCGTGCCATCGGCGGCCAGCTCTATCTCGACGGCTGCGACTACGAGGCTGAGTCCAGCGACGGCGATGTCCGGCACGAGCTCTCGACAGGTCGCAGCACTCTACCTGAACGACGCGGACGAGCAGGTCAGCTACCCGTTCGCGAACCTCCACTCCCTCAGCATCTACGACCCGGGGCCGGACAAGGCGGACGCGGTCGACTCTGCGACCGGCGCGGCCCTGGACCTGAACATGATCCACGGCAACTCGGATGCGGAGGAGGTCGAGCTCAACGGCATCTTGCGCGTGGGCATCGACTCGTGTGCGGCGGCATCGGTGCTGCCGCGTGGCTCGTGCACGGACTACCCAGTGCACGAGGGCGGCCAGGCGATTTCGTACAAGACCGCCTCTGGCCACTACGTGAACGACGAGGGCGAGAAGATCCTCGTGGGGACGATGCCTGGGGCTTCTCAGGCACGCGCTGCCAAGTTCAGGGTGGCGGACATCAGCAAGCCGTTGCTGAGCGTCGCGGAGATGGTCGACTCTGGCCATCGGCTCGTCTTCGACTCGGAGGGCGGGCAGGACATTAGCTACGCGTGCCACAAGACCAGCGGGGACGTTGTCAGGTTCTGCCGCAGGAATAAGGTCTACGAGATGGATATGCACGTCGACCCGTACGTGCCGGAGGTCTGCCCGGTCGAGGTGGCAGGCCACGAGCCTCCCGAGGGTGAAGCCGGCCAGCCAGGCGCGGCTCACGAGGAGGTCGCCGAGGGCCCGCCGGTGCGGCCGGCGAGGGAGCCCGCAGCGCCGACGGCGGCCGAGCGAGCCGCGCACGAGGTGCTGCACGAGCCCTACAGGGCATGGTGCCGGGAGTGCGTCTCCGGCAGAGGCCTGTCAGCAGGCCATCAGACGAAGGGCCACCAGGAGTCGGCGCTCGCGGTGGTTGGCATCGACTACGGCTATCTCGGTGAACGAGAGGACGCCACGCCGCTGCTGATCGGGGAAGATTCGAAGCAGCGTCGGTTCCGCGCGTCGGTGGTGCCAGCTAAGGGGACGCAGCACCCCTGGCCGGCAAAGTCGTTGTCCAGGAGGCTGGCATCGGCTGGCCACAAGCGCTTCGTGTTCCGCTCAGACGGCGAGGCGCCGCTCGTCGCCCTGAAGACCCGCATCGGGGCCAAGCTCAAGGAGGAGTACGGCATCGAGACGGTGCCCGAGGAGAGCGCAGTCGGCGACTCTCAGGGCAACGGCCTGGCCGAGCACGCGGCGCGCGAGGTCGAGGCCAAGGTTAGGACGGCGCGGGCGCAGGTGGACGACCTCCACGGCGTGAGCATTGGCGTCGAGCACCCAGTGACCCCGTGGATGGTCGAGTTCGCAGCCATGTCCATCAACCTGGGCAGGCGGGGCGCTGACGGCCGCACGGCTTGGGAACTTCGGCACGGCCGCCCCTTCAACAAGGACCTGGCTTGCTTCTCGGAGAAGGTCCTGTATCTCCCAGGGGGCAAGCGCAAGGCTGGGATCGAGGACAACTTCCTCGCTGGGCTCTACCTGGGGCCCACGCTTCGGACGGACGAGGTCTACATTGGCACGGAGTTGGGCGCACTGCGGGCCAGGACCTTCAAGCGGTTGACGGTCGAGCAGCGGGCCGACAAGGACCTGCTGAACAGCCTCGTGGGGAAACCGTGGGCGCCGGTGCCGACGGACGTGGAGGTGGACGAGGTGCCGGTGGCCATCGAGATCCGAGCGCCGGTGCCAGCGCTGGTCGCGCCTTTGGGAGGACCTCTGGCGCCCATCCCCGAGGCTGGGGACCTCCCGCCCCGGGCTCTCCGAGTCGGGCGACCACCAGCAGGACCGCGGGCCGTCTACATCAGGAAGGACGTCGAGATCGCGAAGTACGGGCTCTCCCCGGGCTGCTACGGCTGCGCCGCGATCCTCAACGGCGCCCGGGCGCGGGCTCACTCAGCCGAGTGCCGCGCTCGGATCGAGCAGGCGATGCAGGACGACGAGGAGGCAAAGCAGAGGCTCGAGGATGCCCGTGAGCGGAAGCGGCATCGCACTGACGTCGCCGGGCCTGTCTATCAAGAGGGCGGCTCGTCAGGCAGTGGCGGTCCAGCCCCAGCTCAGCAGGTGCCGCCAGCACCCGAGGCCGCGGCGGCGGCTGACGTGGCGATGGCTCCGGCACCACACGACCCCGGCGACGACAACATGCAGGAGGAGATCGGTGCCCTCCTGCTCTCTCTCTCGGCTACAGCGGGCGCAAGGCCGACGTGATGGAGGTCTTCTGCCCGAATAGGCTTGTGGGCTTTGCCCCCCTCTTCGGTCTGGTTCACGGCGGCTCGTTCGACCTGAGGGTTGGCTGGGACCTGACCGACCGCCAGCAGCAGCGACAGTGCCGGGAGCTGATCGAGCACTTCGAGGTGTACTTCCTCTTGGGCAGTCCTCGCTGCGCGCCGTTCTCCATGCTGAAGTACCTGAATGAGGACACGGAGAAGCAGCGTGAGGCCTACGCCATCGGGTACGAGCACTTGAGGTTCGTGATGGAGCTCTACACGCTGCAGGTGAAGCACGACCGCACGTTCTTGCACGAGCACCCCTGGAGCGCGGACAGCTGGGACCTGGACATCGTGAAGGATGTGATGGCTCTCCCGGGTGTCGAGGTCGGGCGAGGCGACCAGTGCGTGTTCGGCCTGGCGGTTGCGGACGCGCGCGGCGACAGGCTCGCCAAGAAGCCGACAGGGTGGATGAGTAATAACAAGGAGGTGTTGGATGAGGTCTGCAAGCGCTGCCCCAATGATACTGGCATTGGCAGCCGCCACGAGCATTCCACCTTCGTCGGCCGCAACATGCGTGTGGCGGAGAGGTATCCGGTCAAGCTCCTCCGCGCCATCCTCCGTGGCCTCCGCCGTCACCTTAGCAACAAGAAGGTGCTCACGCTTTCGGCCCTGGATGCTGGGCCGAACGCGGACGATGAGGAGATCAGCCTGAAGGACTTCGTCGGGAAGTGGCGCGACACGCTGAGGACCGAAATCTACGACGACCTCACCGGCCTCCCGCTGGACCCCACGCGGGTGAAGGCCGCGAGGCGCCTGGAGATGGATTTCATGGCGCAGCTTGGCGCGTGGGTCTACGCGAGGGAGGAGGACTGTCAGCGCGAGCTTGGACGGAGGCCTCTCAGTGTGCGCTGGGTTGATATCGACAAGGGCGACACCGACCGGCCGGATTACAGATCCAGGCTCGTCGTGCAGGAGACCAAGGCGCAGAGCACCATCGCCGGGGACGACATCGGCGCGGTGTTTGCGGCGACCCCGCCGCTAGAGTGCCTTCGGCTCATCTGCAGCATGGTGATGTCGAGCGACCCGTCCGAGGGCCGCGTGCTGCGCTTCCTGGACATCTCGCGGGCACACCCGCACTGTGATATCAAGAGGACGGTCTACATCAAGCTTCCAGAGGAGGATCCGATGTCGCAGGAGATCGGTACGTGTGGGCCCTTGCGGATGGCGCTCTACGGGACGCGCGACGCTGGCCAGAACTTCGAGCTCGCGACTGCCGAGACGGTCATCGGTGCTGGCTGCGACCAGTCGGCCTTCTCGCCTTGCGTGTACTGCCACAAGGACCTCCAGGTGAGCTTCTTCCACCACGGCGACGACTTCGTGCTCGAGGGCTCTCGGGACGGGACGGAGTCGATATGCGAGGCCCTGAAGACGAAGTTCATCGTGGAGGACAGGGGCGTGCTCGGGCCGGCGCCTACCGACGCAAAGGAGATCACGTGCCTCAACAGGGTAATGCGCTGGCGAGACCGATGGTGCCAAGGGGGCGAGGCCATCGAGTACGAGGCGGATCCCAGGCACGCGCAGATCTTGCACGCGCAGCTTGGAATGGACCCCCGCACCACGAAGTCATTGAGCACGCCAGGGCTGAGCCAGAAGCTTACACCTGAGGTCGAGCGCGAGCTGAACGAGCACGAGGCGGCAGAGCACCGCAGTGCGTGCATGAGGCTGGGCTACTTGGCGCTCGATCGGCCAGAGGTGCAGTTCACGGCCAAGGAGTGCGCTCGCGGCATGCAGATGCCGACAGAGCGACACCTCCGCCTTCTGAAGCGCGCTGGACGCTTCTTGATCGGGGCGCCGCGGGCCATCTGGAAGTGGGGCCGACAGCGGGCACCCACAGTGATGGACATCTATTCGGACGCCGATTGGGCAGGCTGCCCGATCACGCGGAGGAGCACCAGTTCGGTCGTGATCAAACATGGGCAGCACGTGATCGTTACGGCATCGACGACTCAGATCCCCATCTCCATGAGTTCGGGGGAGGCTGAGTTCTACGGCTGTGTGCGGGCGGCCAGCAGGGCCATCGGCATGCAGTCACTGTGCCCGGGCCTAGGCAGGGACGTGAGCCTTCGCATCTGGAGCGACTCGGCAGCTGCTCTTGGCATCATGCAACGACGAGGCTGCGGCAAAGTCCGACACCTCGAGACGCCGACGCTGTGGGTGCAGAAGGCACTGAAGGACGGACGGTTTCAACTGGCCAAGGTTCCCGGGAAGTCGAACCCGGCGGACCTGGGGACGAAGTTCCTCGACCAGGCGGCGATGCTCCGAGGGTTGGAGATGATGAGTGTCAAGCTCTCGGACGCGCCCCTCTCGAGTGCCCTTCAGGCGAAGGTCTGAACTGAGGGGCACGAGCGGCCATTTTGGCCTGGCCATTTCGGCCTGCAGTCTTTCGCTCCGCGCTGTCATTGCCTTGGACGGGCTACGGCCGTCAGCGCGGCTATTGCGTGTACTTTGATTGCAGTGCTCGACCAACGCCGTGGTCCAGAGCGCTGTGCACTGACAATGAGTTTCGGAGCTTTTCAGGATTCGAGTATCGTGCCTGGCTGAAGAGCTAGGCGGCACGAAGGGGGCTGCAGGAATCCAGAGACCCCCAGCAGGTTTACTGACAGAGATCAGGCCATTGCTGGTATGGCTCAAGGCAAGCATCCGAAGAAAAGATCTCGCAATTTCATCTGCTGTTAGAGTTGGCCTTCAGCTCAGCTTTTGTATCGACTGGCCCCTGCAGCATTTCAAGCGCCCGCCTCCTCTGACATCATTCAGTGACGACTAGTTCAGATCAATGGCGACGGAGTCCCGCCGTCCGCTTCCAGAGTCCGCCTCGGCTGATTTCTACCGGTTCGAACCTGGAGGCTGGCTCCATTGAGGGCCCTACGGTAACATACGGTGCTGAAAGCTGATATGGCTTTGTCCAACACTGATGCGAGGACTGCCAGTGGCATGGAGGGAGCAGGGGGGAATGAGTGAGATAAGGAATCAGGAGAGCGAGGTGATGGAGGCAGGGTGGAGAAGGAGAGAGAGAGAGAGAGAGAGAGAGAGAAATAGACAGAGGAAGAGAGGGAGAGTTTGAATGAGGCAGGCCCAGGCCCATGGCCGCGGACGGAAGAGGGATGGAGAGAGACGGAGAGCAGTCTCAAGCCAGGAGTAGCAGGGTCCGTGCCGAGGCCTGCCTGAAGGAGCGGACGATGATGCTGGGCCTGGCCGGAGATTTGACCCCGCCCAGCGTCTCGCCACCATGGGCCAGCCAGCCGCGCCGCGCTGGCATTGCTCGTTGCTTCTGCCAGCTGCGGGCACCAGCGGCGAACGAACACACACAGGGAGGTCGGAGGGAGGAGGACTGGCTATGGGTATGGGTGCGTGTTGTCGGACCCCCGGGGAGGCTCCCGCTCGAGCGGGGGCCCCCATCCGACAACACGCACCCATAGCCCCGTTCGCCCCCTCCCCCCCTTCGGGTATAGGTGAGTTCTGTTCGTTCGTCAGCTAGGGGAGGATGAGGACAGATGGCGCGGCGTCTAAGGATCAAGAGCAGGAAGAGCAGACGAAGTCAGTGGCAGTGGAGGAGCATGAGTACGCGGTGGAGGAGGAGTGGTTACGGGGCAGTGTGAGAAATGGAGACGCGGAGCAGGAGAAGCAGAACGATGCGGAGGAGGAATAGCAAGAGCAGGGATAGTAGGAGACATGGCATCCATAATGGTGTAGCGCTTGATAACGTAAGGGCAACATAGCATATTCCGACATACATTGAAGCTTCCATTGTTTCCGGCAGGCTGCAACAGAAGAAACTGCAAGTGGCCCGCACATCATGTGTCGAGAATGGTTGGGCAGGGCCAGATTCGGCCGGGTGGGGGCTGGTCTAGCTGTTACCTCTGACGAGTTTGGGAGACCCTTGGTAGCGGCGTAAGTAGGTTTGAACGTAAGGGGAAGAGCAAGGTTACGTGCGGAAGGCGTTTCTGGGTATAGGATACACGGGTGTAAAGAAGGCTGGAACGGGACAAGGGTGTACGGATGAAGAGGTGATAAGTTTGCAAAGGGCGTACGGGTGAGAGTGAGGGTCAGGGTGACTAGAAGTGCGGAGTTGGCGGGGGCGAGGGTGGGGAAGAGGGACGCAGTTATTGAAGATGATCCTACCTCCCCGCCAATGGCCCTTGTCATACGGATTACATTCCCGTATCCCGCGTTCATGTTGCATCCCCTCAGGCGCGGGTGTTTCGTCACGCGCGTACGTGTAAAGTGTTCAGGTTGGTCCACGCAGCAGCCCGTGCACGTTAGTGAACTCATGCGCGCATCTTGTTATGGAGCTGCTGGAAGCTGGCGCGCGAGCGCGCGCGCGGGTGGCCCGTATTGTATTGTTTGGCAGGGATAGTGCGTATTCAGGGCGCGCGCGCGTGGCCCGCAGTGTTGATTGTGTATGTTGTCGTTTGTCTTTGTTTTTGGAGAGGGACGGTGCTCGTTTTTGCGCGGGAGTGCGGCCCGCACGGCTTGCTTTGGCAGGGAGAGTGTGTGCGAGCGTGGCCCGCGTAATGCGGTGGGGGCGCTGGTTTGGGAATGTGCCCAGGAGGTTTCAGACCTTGGAGGGTTCCTTGTCTAATGAGGGCGGCGGTGACATCCACGGTCAATGCACGATTCGAGTCTCGCCAGCTTTCAGACCCTGGATTCCTTACCCAACTGACCCTTTCATTTCACAGCGTGGGTCCCCAGGGCCAGATCTGATCTGGCAGGGCCCGTCGACCGCCCGGCATGGCCTGAGGCCACGGGCAATCCGAACGAGGATGTGTCGCCAATCCGTTTGTTTCGACGCGCGGCCTTGCGTCTTGGGGAGGGCGCGGCGGCCACCAGGGCAAACCCCGCCTCGGACGCAAGGTTTGCCGCAGCTTTGCCGCGGCGCCAGCTTCGTCCACGGGGGCGCGGGGCGCAGGTTTTGCCGTGGATTTGCCGCGGTGTCGGCGTCGTCCATTTGGGCGCGACGAGAACAAACGGCGCGGCAACATGCAGGTCTCAGGCTAGGGACAGGGGCCACTTTCGCCCTGGGCCCGCTTTGGTCCCGGGCTGTTCGCTCGTGATCCTGGCGGCTGGACCCCGTACGGTGGAGCAGTGCGGCCCGTGTAGTGCAGTGCGGAGCCATGGATCTGGGCCTCCCAGATGAGGCGTTCCAAAACGGGCCTTCCCTTCGAGGATCGAAGGAGTTCTCATCTCTTCCACGGCAGGAGGCGGCGGTAGGGCGGCGGAAGGTCGGCGGAAGTAAAACGAGGGCACATCCGCCGGCGGAAGCTGGCGGAAGGCTGGCAGAAGGCGGATGCAGTAAAAGATGCGCCCCCAAGAGATGACAACGTTTGGAGTTCAGGGTTTTCGAAATCGCCCAGATGATGGGGTCCGAGTAGGGGTCTGGCCCTCCTGGATGGGGTCGGACCCATACCCCACTCGCGTCTGTGAAAAAGTTGCGACGTTGGGGTTTTTGCTATTTTCGGCTTCCTGGGCCCTTACGGACCCCGGGACCATCAAAAACCCTTCAGGATGAAAAGCCGGTCCCGGGAAAGGGGTTCAGACCTCTGGGGGTCGACGTTGTGAACAAACTCACGGCGTCGGGGGTCTGGGGAGTAGATGGGGTCGAAGCATCGCGCCGTATCGCCGATGCATCGGCGATGCGGCGCGCTGCGGAGCCCGATCGTCTCCACGCGGACGTCGCCGCTACATCGCCGACGCATCAACGATGCATCGCCGATGCATCGGCGGTGCGGCGAGATCGTCCGACCCCGTCTGCTAACCCCATCTGGGAGGCCTCCAGCAGAAGGCAATGCAAAGCAATGCGGGGCTATGGTGGGGGCGTTGGTGAAGGAATGTGTCCAGGAGTCTCCAGACCCTGGAGGATTCCTTGTCTGACGGGGGCGGCGGCGATATCCATGGCCAGTCCACGATTGGAGATCCACCGGCTCCCAGACCTTGTATTCCGCTTCCGAGGATCCTTTATCCGATGCATCGCCGCATGTATAGCAATGATAACAATGGCAAGCAATGCGCACCAGCGCAAAACAACAACGCAGAGCCATGCAACGCAATGCGAACCAATCCGAAGCAAGGTGGCGGCTACGGGGCGATAGCAAGTGGTAACGGGCGGCCTCGGGGCGGCATCGAAGCGGTATCGACGTGGCAACGAGGCTACAACGAAGTAGGCACCAGCCGAAACTCTAGAACTCAGGCCCAGCTGCAACGGGGCGCAAACGAAGCAGCAACAAAGCGGCGACGTCGCGGCAACGAGCCAAAACTCCAGAGCCCAAGCCCGGCGGCAACGGGAGGGCAACGGAGTGGCAACGGGGTGGCGACGAGCGGCAACAAGGCGGGCACGAGCCGAAAGTGCAGAAGTCGGGCCCAGTTTCTCAGACGCCAAGCATGTCTTGTTAACCTGTTACGAATGTTTGCGTATGTTTGTAACCATTCTGCCACGGTGCGCCTGTGAATCGAGGTGCGCGGAGTGAGCGCATCCTCAGGCGATGTTGCGTCGAGGCAACGTGGCGTGCCGTCGTAATAAGACGTGGCGTGCCTTGCCCAAGTCTTCGAAGTGCGAGCGAGTTGCCGCCCGCGTGCCCGCGTGCCGCAACCGTGCCGCGCCGTGCCTGCCCGTCTGCGTGCGGAGCAGTTGCCGTGCCTCTGCCGCACCGTGCTGCGCCCGTAATCAGACAGGCGTGTGGTGCCGTGCCGTGCCGTGCCTGGCTTTTCGAGGGTCATCGAGGTGCCGTGGCGTGCCGGCGTGTCGTGCCGTGCCGCGCCGTGCCTATTTTTTTGTTCCCCCTTCCATCCTGTGAGTATGGGTCATCGTTTTCAAGAGACAGCGCCCCGCGTTCCTCACCCACTCACGCCTCCCTTCCTTCTCCCCCTCCTCCTCCTCCTCCCTCCTCCGCAGTTCGCATGCGTCTCCCCAACCCAGTGCAGCTCTGCGTGGCCCGATAGGGAGCTCCACCGACGCTTCCAGTGGCACAGTTCGAATGCAGTTCCCCCACCCAGTGCAGCACCTCGTGGCCCCAGAGGGATCTCCACCGAAGGTCCCAGTGGCGCAGTTCGCATGCGGTTGCCCTGCCCAGTACAGCGTCTCGTGGCCCCAGAGGGAGCTCCTCCGAAGGTCCCAGTGGCGCATTTCGCATGCGCTTCCCCCGCCCAGTTCAGCGTTCTGTGGCCCCGGAGGGAGCTCCACCGAAGGTCTCAGTGGCGCAGTTCGCATGCGCTTCCCCCGCCCAGTACAAAGTTTCGTGGCCCCAGAGGAAGCTGCACCGAAGTTCCCAGTGGCGCATTTCGCATGCGGTTGCCCCGCCCAGTACAGCGTCTCGTGGCCCCAGAGGGAGCTCCTCCGAAGGTCCCAGTGGCGCATTTCGCATGCGCTTCCCCCGCCCAGTTCAGCGCTTCGTGGCCCCGGAGGGAGCTCCACCGAAGGTCCCAGTGGCGCAGTTCGCATGCGCTTCCCCCGCCCAGTACAAAGTTTCGTGGCCCCAGAGGAAGCTGCACCGAAGGTCCCAGTGGCGCAGTTCGCATGCGGTTCCCCCACCCAGTACAGCGTTTTTGTGGCCCCAGAGGGAGCTCCGCCGAAGGTCCCAGTTTTGCATTTCTCATGCGGTTCCCCCACCCAGTGCAGCGCTTCGTGGCCCCAGAGGGAGTTCCACCAAAGGTGCCAGGGGGGTGTACCACATGCGGTTCCACGCCCAGTACAGCGCTTCGTGGCCCCAGAAGGAGCTCCACCGAAGGTCCCGGTGGCGCAATTCGCATGCTGTTCCCCCACCCAGTGCAGCGCTTCGTGGCCCCGTAGGGAGCTCCACCGAAGGTCTCAGTGGTGCAGTTCGCAGGACGTTCCCCCACCCAGTGCAGCGTTTCGTGGCCCCAAAGGGAGCTGCACCGAAGGTCCCAGTGGCGCAGTTCGCATGCGGTTCCCCCACCCAGTACAGCGTTCTGTGGCCCCAGAGGGAGCTCCACCAAAGGTCCCAGTGGCGTAGTCCGCATGTAGTTTCCCCGCCCAGTGCAGCCTTTCGTGGCCCCAGAGGGAGCTCCACCGAAGGTCCCAGTGGCGCAGTTCCCAGTGGCGCAGTTCGCATGCGGCTCCCCCATTCAGTACAGCGCTTCGTGGCCCCAGAGGGAGCTCCACCGAAGGTCCCAGTTGCGCATTTCTCATGCGGTTCCCCCAACCAGTACAGCGTTCTGTGGCCCCAGAGGGAGCTCCACCGAAGGTCCAAGTGGCGCAGTTCGCATGCAGAGCCTGCGCCCAGTACAGCGCTTCGTGGCCCCAGAGGGAGCTCCACCGAATGTCCCAGTGGCGGAACTCGCATGCGGATCCTCCGCCCACTACAGAATTCTTGACCCCAGAGGGAGCTCCACCGAAGGTCCCAGTGGCGCAGATCGCATGCGGCTTCCCCGCCTAGTACAGCGTTTCGTGGCCACAGAGGGAGCTCCACGGACGACGATACCCACAACTTGGGCAGTCACAGCTGCATATGGTTGGTTTCTTCGCCAGTCTAATGTTCAGAATGCGAAGAAGCGGCCGTGTCTCTACTGTGCCGTGCTGTACCTTGTTTTCCCGTGATGCGAAGAAGTTGTGGTGCCGTGCTGTGACGTGTTTGGTTTTCAGCATGCGGAGAAGCTGTTTTGCCGTGCCGTACTGACAAAGTGTCCTAGTACCCACCACAAAAAACTTGGCGATTAACCCAACCATATGCAGTTGTGAGTACCGCAGTTGCGGGTATCGTCTTCCGTGGAGCTCACGCTGGGGCCACCAAACGCTGTACTGGGCGGGGGAAGCGCATGCGAACTGCGCCTCTAAGACCTTCGGGGGAACTCTCTATGGGGCCACGAAGCGTTGTACCGGGAAGCGCATGCGAACTGCGCCACCGGGACCTGCGGTGGAACTCCCTATGGGGCCACGAGACGTTGGTACTGGGCGGGGGAAGCGCATGCGATCTGCGCCACTGTGACCTTCGGTGGAGCTCCCTCTGGGGCCACGAAACGCTGAACTGGGCGGGGAACCGCATGCGAACTGCGCCACTGGGATCTTCGGTACAGCTTCCTCTGGGGACACGAAACGCTGTACTGGGTTGCGGAACCGCATGCGAAGTGCGCCATTGGGACCTGCGTTGGAGCTCCCTATGGGGTCACGAAGCGTTCTACTGGGCGAGGAACCGCATGCGAGTTCCGCCACTGGGACCTTCGGTGGAGCTCCTTCTGGGACTACGAAGCGCTGTACTGGGCGGGGAAAGCGCATGCGAACTGCGCCATTCGGACCTTCGGTGGAGCTCCCTCTGGGGCCACGGAAGGCTGTGCTGGGCGGGGGAAGCGCATACGATCTGCACCACTGGGATCTTTGGTAGAGCTCCCTCTGGGGCCACGAAACGCTGCACTGGGTGGGGGAAGCGCATGCGACTGCGCAACTAGGATCTGCGGTGGAGCTCCCTATGGGGCCACGTAGCGTTGTACTGGGCGGGAGCCGCATGCGAACTGCGGAGGAGGAGGGAGGATGGGGAGGAGGAGGAGAGGAGAGGAGAAGGGAGGAGGAACGCGGGGCGCTGTCATTTCAAAACGAAGGCCCAACACCACAGGATGGTTGGGACATACACAGATGCCCTCCAATGTATTTTTCCGGGGCGTCAGGGAGGTTGGCTGTGTAGAAATCACCACTGGGAGCCAGCGACAGTATACACCTCCGCCCTCCCTGACGGTACACACCAAGTTCGTTGGAGTTTGTCTGTGTATATATTTCCGTGTCGTATGTCATGCAGTTTTGGCGTTTCGGGGTCGCACAAGCTTTGGCCGATTCGTGGCAGGCGTTTGCTGTTGCGTTCGTACTCTGCTCATGCCCCGAGGTCTGGCGGCTCGAACAGTCGGGACGGCCTCTGGGCCCCCGAAGGCAGCTTCTGGCCCAGGCACGGTCGAGAGACGGTCTGGGACGAGAAACGCGGTCCCCGTAGAAGAGGTCGAGACGTCCGGGGGGCCATGTGTCAATTGGATCCCACATCCCGCAACTCAAGAAGGTAGAATTGGCATGTCCTTCGCCAGTTGGGGCTTGTGGAGGCCAGTTCTGGCTCCCAGGGTCATCAACAAAAAACATTCAGAATGGAAAGCTGGCCCCATGGAAGGGGTACGGCTGTCAGGAGATCCGAGGGTCCATGTCTCGAACAAATCGAACCGCTGGACGCTAGATGTGAGGGATCCGAGGGGCAAGTGTTCAGGCTCAGCGCTTGCCAGTCACACCGATCTGACGGGGTGACGCAGCGCTTCCGCTCGCATGAACATGGGAGGGGCACTTACATCGAGAGTCAGAGAGCGTGGAGAGGCGGTTTCCTGTCCGACGCCACTCAATGTCCCCTCCAGCCCTGCCACTGGACGAGGCGACGTCGACGTCGAGGTCGGCAAATCAGGGCCCTTCCACTCCAATGAGGCCGGCGCGATCTGAGGCGCCGCGCGCGGGCAAGGTTCATGGGTCAAGAGCAAGGAGGAGGAGGTGGAGGAGGAGGAGGAAGAGGAGGAGGAGGAGGAGGAGGAGGAGGAGGAGGAGGAGTGGCTGGTCGGTCACGTGCGGGAGCTGCCAGAGGACGAGCAGCAGGCCGAGCTGGCGTGCCTACTGCGCTGTCAGTTGCGCAGTCCAGCGCCAGGTGGCGCGGCAGATGCGCCAAGCGGCGGGCCTGCGCTGAGGCGGCGGCGGCTGCTGGGAGCTGCGGCGGCGACGGCCTGCCTCTGCGGGGCGCGGCGGCGACAGCGGCGGCGGCGGCGCCCCGCGCTGGCCCGGCGGCGGCGCGCAGCCGCGGCGGCCGAGCGCGCGGGCGGGCGCGGCCCAGCGTCGGCGCGCAGCCGCGGCGGCCGGGCGCGCGGGCGGGCGCGGCCGCGGCGCGTGCTGTCCGCTCGCCCGGGTTGCCCCCTCGGACTCGGGACCCTCGGGGCCGCGCAGGAGGAGAAGGAGGAGGAGGAGGAAGAGGAGGAGGAGGAGGAGGAGGAGGAGGAGGAGGAGGAGGAGGAGGAGGAGGAGGAGGATGTGGTGGTGGTGCGTGAGGAGCAGGAAGAGGAGGAGGAGGAGGAGGAGGAGGAGGAGGAGGAGGAGGAGGAGGAGGAGGAGTAGGAGTAGGAGGAGGAGGTGAAGAATGAGAGGGAGAAGGAGCAGGAGATGTAGGAGGAAGAGAAAGAGGAGCAGCGGCAGCAGCAGCAGCAGCAGCAGGAGACCCACGCCTTGGCCCCGGAGGGAGGAGGGCAGGATTTGCGGAGGACCCGTAGAGGGCTTCCCCACGGTCTCGTCATGATTCTTCGGGGGCATTTATTTTTGGAGGCGAAGCCTATCGGCGCTCCAGGGCGGCCTCCCGGTCGTCTTGTCGGGGCCCGCCATGGTGCGCGCTGGACGCTTCGTCTCCCATGCGTGGAGCGCCCTGCCAGCCGGACTCGAGGCCGCAGGATCGTCGTGGACAAGTTTCGGCCGGAAGGGGAAAACACACAGTCACCAAGAATCGTCGATTCCCAGGATGTATGGAAAATTTTGGGAAGTGAGGGGGAGACGAACATCCAGGAAAGATGGGGAACGGGTGAATCTTGGGATGTGTGTCCATTTTTTTTTTTTTATGTGTGTGTGTGTCCCTGGGCCCTTCCAGATGTCAGGATCGGGTTGGCCCAAAAGGGGGTCCAGCGACAAGGGGGTGGTGCAATAAATTTGGTGCAGTAGATTTGTGGGGTTGCAATATATTTGGGGCGTGCGCTACATTCCGGGGCGCAAATGTGTTGCTGCGTTTCTGCGTGCAATACGTTTGGCGCAATACGATGCCATACAACTATCCGGCGCAGTACGTTTTCTGCACAGCTGCCCCAAGTCTATGGCACCACCTCCTCTCGGCTGGACCCCCCTTTTGGTCCGACCACACAGGAGCACGGCGAGGAGGGGCAGGCCGAGGAGGCCGCTCCGAGGCCCGCGGCTGCCACGAGCGGCGGCGCGGTGCGCCGACCCCTGGGGCGCCCAGGGGAAGAGGCCGAAGAGCGACCCGGCGTAAAGTCGGGCGCGTCCCCCCACAGGAGGAAGACGAAAGACTAGCAGAACATAGTCAGGGGGTGCCTTTTCGAGCTCTATGGATTATGTCTGACCTTTGTTGTTTTGCTAAAAAGAATATCTTTGATTATTGTTCGACTATTTTTGATTAGTGTAAGATATATCTTCAAAACTTTCCAGCATCTGCCTGTAGGAGGACATGCCAGACGTAGCCCTGGTGCCTAAGGGCAGAGGCCGAAGGGCGACCTGGTGCCGAATGGTCCAGGAAAGAGGATCGAGGACCGAGTCGACTGTAGAGGTGAGAGTGACGTTTCGCAGGAGTGACCTTCGGTGCGGGCCCAGTGGGGCCCCCCGATCGCTGCACGCGAAGCGGTAGCAGCGGCTTGCGCGCCCAGGTTTGGCCACCCCGCGTCCCCCGCTTTACGCCGCGCGCCAAAGGTCCTTTTTGCCTATGATCACTCTTGTGTGTGGCCGACCGAGGCTTTGGACGCTGCTTCTTGGGCCGAGGCCTCTGGAGCCTTCTGGCGCCCTTTCCGAGGTCTCCGGGGGCCTGCCGACTTCCAGGGGCCTCCAGGCGTCTCTCGGGACAGGCCGCTCTGAGGTCAGTCGGCCCCGTCGATCTCCGCCCGCTGCGTTCTCGAACGCTGTCAGAGCGTTCCGGAACGCTTTGAGAAGGCCGCGGCGCCCGAGACATCCTCGCTGCCGGATCTACGAGATGCTCGATGAATTCTCACCCGATCTTATCCTCGTCCTGGCTTCGTTGTATTCTAGCTCTGCTGAGTTGCTTCAGGCCCTCGTCCTCCTGTAGGATCTCACTACGACCTCCCCGTACTCCTGGTCCTCATCTTTCTCACTTTTTCCCTGCACTCTTACCCTCCAGTTCCTAGCTCTCGACACAGTGTGTGCGTGTGTCCTTTTGGTATTTGTTGTGTGTGCGTGTGTGTATATATGTGTTTGTTTGTGTGTGTGTTTGTAGGTTTGTCTTGTGCTTGTGTTTGTGCTTGTGTTTGTGCTTGTGCTTGTGCTTGTGGTTGTGCTTGTGCTTGTGCTTGTGCATGTGTGTGTTTGTGTTTGTGTTTGTGTTTGTGTGTGTGTCTGTGTCTGTGTGTCTGTGTGTCTGTGTGTGTTTGGCAGCGCCCTCTACCGCCGGCCCCCCAGGCTGAGCAAGCTTGGAAGAGCTATGGGCCCATAACGGGGCCTCTCGGGGGCACCTTGGAGGGTTTCTCCGAAGGGCTTAGGCGACCCGTCTTCCTCCTTTCTCCTCTCCTCCTCCTCCTTCTCCGCCTCCTCCTCCTCCCCCTCCTCCCCGCCCTCCCCCTCCCCCTCCTCCTCCTCCTCCTCCTCCTCCTCCTCCTCCTCCTCCTCCTCCTCCTCCTCCTCCTCCTCCCTCCTCCTCCTCCTCCTCCTCCTCCTCCTCCTCCTCCTCCTCCTCCCCCTCCTCGCCCTCCCCTCCTCGGGCCGCCTACGGCCCCGGGGGAAACCGTCCAGGTGCACCTTGGTGCTTCTGTGGCCATCTTTGGGGTATCTTGGGCAATCTTGGGTCTCTTCTGAAGCCCACGCGGCCTATCTTGAGGGTATTTGGGTGCCATCTTGGGGCCTTGTTGGGCCACTCTGGCCGATTTAGGCCATCCGGGGGCTTTTCAGGGCCATCTTGGGACCGTCTTGGATAATCTTGGGGGTTTCTGTGGGTCGCCTTGAAGTGATACTTGGACACTTTGGGAATAAAACGTGGGCGTCTCAACCACATGATCTTGTTTCAATGTTTTTGTTGCTCTTGGGGGCGTCCTGTACACCTTCTGGGTAGGCCATCTTGGAGGCATCTTGGGGCCATCTTCGGCCGTCGTGGGCTCTTGAGGCCCTCGTCGGAGTCTCCTGGTGCCCTCTTGTAGGTCTCTTGGGCCCTCCTGGCGGTGCGGTGGCGTCCCTATAGGAGTCCTGGGGCAACCTAGAGAGGTCAGGAGTCTGAGGGGTAACCCTCCTCAGTTGCTAATTTTTATCCGCGCCCCCCCCTGAATGATAGGATAGTGCAACGGAGGCCGGACTGCAGAGACAAGATGTACAAGCCCAAATAGCACAACTATCACAAGACAGCAGTCCAGCAGGATCCTTGTTGTATTGCGCCTTTCAGAGGGGCCGTCGGATCTGGATCCCCGCTACATGGCGAAGGAAGAGGATATGAACAGCGGGAGGAGGAGGATGAGGAGGAGAGGGAGGATAGAGCGCATATCGAGGTGGAGACGGAGGCTGATGGAGAAGGATGACGACGAGGACGAGTGGGAGGTTGCACGAATGTTAGTGGTAAGAGATGCCCAGGAGGCTCTGAAAGGGTATTTCGTCTTGCCACTCCTGTCTGGACCAGTCGTCCTCAAGAGTGTTGGACGGCCAGGCAGCGCTGGCCAGCGCCGCTGGGCAGCTGACTGGCAGGGGGGCCTTTTCGGGCTCTGCTACTGCAGACTTGGAGGGTTGGGGGAGTTGGCAAACGCAAGAATTGGAGGAACACGGAATGCAGAAGTTCATCGAGATGATTCGTTTGCACGCCCGACATCACTCATTTTTCCTCTTTGCTGACGACCCCTCTGAATGGATAGCGATTCAAAAAGGCAGACTTTCGTATCCACATTTCGTACCCATCTAGTTGTCCCTCTACATCCTTGAGGATAGCGTTTCACTCAGACTCCGAGTGCACTGTGCTTTTCAGCAAGAGCAGCGCTACTTGCCGTTCAATAATTACATACGTGCTGCGATCGCCACTTCGCGAACTTTTGTGTGACACTCTTCTTCTGAGCTAACGCCGGGCTTTTACACTTGTTGCGCGGAAGACTATTACGCAGCCTTGGCCTAAGGCATGTGCCATGTTTTTTGTTGGTGTGCAGCCGATAATCAGATTTTGAGTTAGAGCGATTTCAAACTGAATCGGTATGTCACCAGACATTCATTCTTCCCTCATCCGTGCATCCATCATCATCCGTTGCCTCAGCATCCATCACCCCATGCAAGGTACAATCAATTTATAATTGCGTCACCACTTCTTCACTGTTGAACCGCAGTTGATCCAAAAAGTTCCACAATCGATTAAACATTGATGCATCGTTCAATTGGGTTTGTAAGCTGCTGCGCCGAATCCGCACTGTATAGAACTGGTGCACAATTGTCTCAGACCTGTGCAACTGACCCACGCTACCGTGGATGTAAGAAATTAACGCGACACCAAACCATGACTTTGAAATTCCGCCGTTCAGAGAAAATGAATGCACTCCGGGCCACGACAACATGGGGCTCAAAAGCCTGCACTTCTGGTTCGCGTTTATTTTTTACATTTTCGGCGGCGCCCGTTGATCGTGCCCAGCTTGGAACCCGCGGATTTTGAATGGCGAAAGCACAACGTTACGAATCAGTTTCGCGTTAATTGTTTCCATCCACGGCCTCCGGCAAAGCTGATTCGAGGGCCCCTTCTATACGCGATGTGGGGCTCGCGCCTGTCAACCATTCTGGCACTTTTCCGATCAGGTAATGTGGCCGATGGGATGCAATGGCTGCAGTGTGACGACATGATCGGATCTCGTTAGGCTCAGGCGAAACGCCAATGAGATCGCCAAGAATCGCGTTTTGGGGCGGTCCGCTGTCTCCCGTGCTCGCCTGGCCATGACGAATCGATCCGGGGATCGCCAGGAATGGCGTTCTGGGACCTTGCGGTTTTGTTTGTCTTAGCCTGGCTATGACGAAACGATGGTGAAAGCCACGGAGTGCGAGGGGGTTATGATTTTCGGACGTTATGAATGACTTATTGGAGCTCTGGCGCAAGACTTCCATACCAAAACGACGCCGATCACAATGCTTAGGACTAGTAAATGAGACTTGGTTTAATTTCTTGTTTACGAATATTCAACGTTATGATCGGCGTCGTTTTGATGAGGCGGTCCTGAGCTAGAGCTCCATTAATTCATTCGTAACGTTGGGAAGTTGCAACCCCCTCGCACTTCGTGGCTTTCATCGTCGTCTCGTCATGGCCAGGCCATAACCAAAACAAGCGCAAAGCCACAAAACGCCTTTCTTGGCGATCTCAACACCGTTTCGTCATAGCCAGACGAGCACAGAAAACAGCGGAACGTCCCAGAACGCCATCCCTAGCGATTTCAACGGCGTGTAGAATGCAGATGGGACCCTCGAATCAGCCTTGCCGGAAGGCGGCCTCCGGCAAGGCTGATTCGAGGGCCCCTTTAAAATTGTATACACGATGTGGGGCTCGCGCCTGTCAACCATTCTGGCACTTCTCCGATCGGGCAATGTGGGCGATGCGCTGCAATGGCTGCAGCGCTGCGATCTGCTAGGATCTCTCTCTGCTTAAGCGAAACGGCGCATATAATTCAGACCGTGCCCTGGAATGTAAGGATGTGAAAAATTAGCACGCAGCCAAACCATAACGTTGGAATTTTTCCGTTCAGAGGAAATTAATCCCATCCGGGCCACGACAACATGGGGCTCAAAAGCCTGCAGTTGTGGTTCGCATTTGTTTCTTACATTTTCGGCGGCGTCGGCCGATCGTGCCCAGCTTGGAACTTTGAATGGCGAAAGTCAAACGTTACGAATGAGTTTCGCGTTGATTTTTCCATCCACGGTATTTTCACATTGTATCCATCATGTGTTCCGTGTCGCCAGGAGCGAACCATGTTGCGATTATACAATAATTCAGGAGACTCTGAACTCCGCTTGTTTTGATGATGCAACGGGTTCCCGTTTTGGGGGGGAGGGCGTCTTGAATGTTAGTTTCGTCTTTGTAGTGTTTGGGTGACACATTGCTTCGCGACAGGAGGTTTCCGAACTTGCACTTGTACGTTCCATCAGGCTCGAGCGAGGCGTGCCCAAGCCAAATCACTCCTCCAGGACCAGGTAAAAAAGTGAAAAGTAACGGTGCCGCCAAACCAAAAAGAGGCGCGCGCTCCTGGGCCCAACGTCGGAACACGTGGAATCCGTTAGGCGGGCACATCGAAGGGGCGGGGGGGGGGGCGACCGTTTTGGTCGTGGTCGAGAACAGTGTTGGCGCCGCTTAGTGTCTGCAATGGGTTCCGGGTGGCACTTAGTTCCCCTTGGTCAGGCATGGGCCCAAACGACTGTCTCGCGGTGCACGCACACTCTGCACGCATGCGCGGGCGGGTGGATTCTAGACGCCTCGCGATCCTTGTTTGCTCGCAGCAGGAAGGGAGACGAGGACGATGCTGATGCTGAAGATGATAATGCTGCTGATGATGCTGATGATGATGATGATGTTGATGCAGATGATGCTGATGATGGACCAGATGATGACGATGCTGATGATGGTGATGGTGATGGTGATGGTGATGGTGATTGTGATGGTGGTGACGATGATGGTGATGAAGATGATGATGATGATGATGATGATGATGATGATGATGATGATGATGATGATGATGATGATGATGGTGGTGATGATGAAGATGATGATGGTGATGGTGATGGTGGTGATGGTGGTGTTGGTGTTGGTGTTGGTGTTGGTGGTGATGATGATGATGATGATGATGATGATGATGATGATGATGATGATGATGATGATGATGATGATGAGTATGAGCATGATGATGATGAGGAGGAGGCGGGATGAGGAGGAGGAGGAGGTGGTCACCATCTTGCCTGTCTTTCTGCCCATCAGCCTCATGTCCCCATTCCAAATTGACGCTTGTCGCATCCAGATGGAACTGCAGTCCTCTACCTTCGCCTCCCATCTGCGCCTTCCCCCCTTCCTCCCCTCCTCTCTCCTCCCATGCCCTCCCTCACCTCGCCCCCCTCCCCTTCCCTCCTCTTCACCCGTTTCCATGCCCCCCTGTCCATCCCCCCTCTCCATTCGGGCCCCCGCCGCTCCCTTCGCACCCCGCTCCCTTGAAAGAGCGGCGGGTCGGGGCAGGGGCACCACCACGTCCCCAGGGGCCTGCCGAATCCGGCGCCGCCGACGACGTGCAAGGAATTGCTTGAACGCGCAGAGTAGGTACGGAAAACAGGGACCCGATCCCCAACAATGCATGTCGCCCAACACCGGCAGCGGCTGTCGCTGGGCAGCCAGATGGATCACGTCCGCGGGGACGACGACAGCGAGCCCTGTTCAAATTGAGAGGGAACTGTTCTCGGTCTTCGTACCAGTTCTTTCCGTACCTATTTCGGTCGCACCGAGGGTGGCAGTGAAGAGGCAGAACGGGGGGAGCGGATGCAGAGGCCCACCCTTTTGTTGTTTGTCGCCGCGGCTCGGCCACCTGGTCGGGGTCGCGCAGGGGCCCCAGGGGCCGCGGCAAGCATTAAGTCGGGCCTGTCCTTCTGCACGAGGTCTCCTCAAAAATAGTCAAAAAAATAGTAGGGGACGATGTTTTGAGTATTCTTGAGCATTTCGGAGGTATTGGTTTTACTATTTTCAAGTTTTCGTGCAAAATCCACCTGTAGGGAGACACGCCCGACCTAGGGCCAGCAGGGTTTTTCCAAGCTCGGCGAAGAGAGAGAGAGAGAGAGAGAGAGAGTCCGTGGACGAGCTGTTTGCGTGTACCGCACCGCGTTGGCGTCTCCCGAGGCGTCGTTGATCCTCGACCCGGGGATGATAGGCTGCATTCTGGTTTGGGCCCTCGGCGCCGGAAAAGTGAGCACCGTGCTGTGGTTTTGAGCGGGCTCGAAGGGATTCCAAACATGGAAGGGATTCAAAACAAGGTATGGTGCATGTCCCTCCGTTCTCGTAAAGAGGTAGAGAGAGAGGGAGAGAGAGAGAGAGAGCGAAAGAGAGAGAGAGACAGAACGAGAGAAAGAGACACAGAGAGAGAGAGAGATAGAAGTTAGAAAGTCAGAGACAGAGAGGCAGTCGGAAAGAGAGAGAGAGAGAGAGAGAGTGAGAGAAAGAGAGAGAGAGAGTGAGAGACGTAGAGAGAGAGAGAGAGAGCAGCGATCTTACGCTTCTGTCTTGGGCATATTTCTGCTGTGGGCGAGGGCCGATAGGAGCTACCCACGCCCGCCCTCTCTTCCTAGAGTAGAGAGAGGGTCACCGAATCCCTTCAAGGCTTGTATGGGCAATTCCGATATTGCGTTCGTCTAGTTTTTCCTCTCATGTGTGTTGCGTAGTGGTTCGTCTATTGTTTGGCCGAGTGAATTTCTAGTTGGTTGGTTGATTGGTGAGTTCGGGTTGGTTGGCTTGTCGGTCGGTCGATTTCGAGTGGGATGGTCAGTGTGCTGGCTGGCTGGCCGGTTGCAACGCTGGCTGGTTTGTTGGTTCGCTGGTCGGCTGGTTGGTTGATTGGGATTGGTTTGTTCCCTGCGAAGCCGGGTGACATGGCGTGCCCTCTGGACTGAATTTTATTGGCTTCTCCGGATTGAACTGGAGGGACATTTCTGACAACAAATTTGAAACCGCCCGCGGAACCGCAACCGCAACCGCAACCAGGCGACGCATTTCAACCCGCCCGCGGAACCGCAACCACGACCGCGTCCGGGCAACGCATTTCAACCCGCCCGCGGGCGCAACCGCAACCGCAAAAGGATGATGAGAAGGAGGAGGAGTTGGGCGTGGAGGCGGAGGCCCTGCTCGCGGCCGTCGAGCGCTGCCCGCGGGTCTCCGCCGGGACACTGCAGCGGGGAATCCCCACTCCACGCTGCTGCCTCTGATTTTTGGGCCCAACCTGCGGGCCGGGGCATGCGCATCCTGACGGACCCGCGTGTCGGATCGGGCGGGCGGGCCCTGACGGGCCGGCGGGACACCAAGGCGGGCGGGAGGACACACAGACCAGCGATCGGGTCGGGTCGAGCGGGCCCCTAGCGGGCGGGCGGGCGGGTGTGGGTCGGCTGGGCCCTGGGCCGCGGGCCCTGGCGGGCGGGCGGGACATCCGGGCGGGCGGGTGAGCTTTTATTAGGCAAGCGGCAGGCGAGGGGCGGACCTCGACGGGTGGGCGGGTCGGGGCTGGCGGACCCTCTCGGGAGGGCAGGCTGGTCGGGTCGGGTCGGGTGCGGGCCTCGCGTATCTTAATGGGTTGGTGTGGCACTGAGGCGGGCGAGTTGGCGTTCAGGCAAGGCGAGCGGGCGGTTTGAACTAGGTGGGCGGACCCGAACGGGCGTGTCGGGTCAGGCGGATCTGAATGAGCAGGCCAGACACTAAGACGGGCGGGTGGTGTTTCAGGTAAGTGAGCGGCGAAACCCTGATGGGCGGGTGGACCCTTCTTGGCGGGCAGGCGGGTAGCGGGGCTTGGCGGGCGGACCCTAATGGGCGGGCGGGCGGATCATTGGGATGAGGACGGGGAAGTTTGATGACGACGATCATTCCGAGGTCGCCGACGAATACCACGAGCCTGCCGACTTCTGACTACGACGACCACGTTCGCGATGATTTCAGGAAAGATGATGACGACGGCTCACGACGACTACGCCGACGAAGACGACGGCAAACATGACGGCCATGGGTTGTGAGCAAGACGGTAACGTTGGCGCGACCACGAACACGATGGTGACAATGACGGCGGCGGCAAGGACGACAATGTACGATTACGGCGGGCGCACGGTTCTTCATGCGGGCGGGCGGGCGGGCCCTACAGCTGGTACGCGGGTTCATAGCAGCATGAGCTTGCAGAGGGTACCCGTGTACATGTTGTGTTCGGGGCTGTGCTCTCTTGACCCCTGCGTTCGGATGGCAATGTTTCAAGACTGGCTGGCGGGCGGGACCAGCGGAGCCCAGCGGGCAAGGGGGCGGGGGATCCTGAGGGGCAGGCCAGGACGGCGGCCTGGGCGATCGAGTTGAAGACTCAAGTCAGGAGCAACACCCACAAGAGCGTTGCGTTCCGGCCAAGCCTACCGCCCCGCCCACCTCAGTGTGCCACTGATCGGCCCCGTCTCTTCTCTTCGCTGGGCTGTGTTGCTCCACTCTCAGAAGAGGCCACGAACAGAGACACAAACAGTCTTCGATTCCCATAAAAATGAACCCAGCGCGACCCCAAATAGGGGAAGCGTCCTATTCTGTGGGCGCACTGCTTGGCATTGTTTGGCAGTGCGTGGCATTGCTTGGCATTGCTTGGCACTGCTTGGCATTGCTTGGCATTGCTTGGCAGTGCTTGTCATTGCTTGGCAGTGCTTGGCAGTGCTTGGCATTGCTTCGCAGAGTACGAGGCAAGGGAGGCGGGGAACCCGGAGAACCCGAGGAACACAGGGAACCTGGAGAACCCCGGTAAGCCGAGGAAGCCGCGGGGAACCTGGGGAACCTAGGGAACCGTGGAAACCCGAGGAACCCAGGGAACCCGAGGAACCGGAGGAACTTTGGGAATCTTGGGAACCTTGGGAACCCAGGGAACCCGGGAAACCCGAGGACCCCCCGAGCAACGGGCAACGTCAAAATCGGACGTACCGAGGGCGATGAACCCGGGGAACCCGAGGAAGTTGGGGAACCTCCAAGCAACGGGCAACGTGAGACTCCGAGGCTGCAACCTTTATCCAGGGAGAAACCCCTTCGGCAAGCCTGACAGGGGCACCATGGAGCACGTGGGCAGTGGAGGGGAAGGCGAACATCCAGAAGAGCTGGAACAGATGGGGGTCTTGGGATTTCTGTATGTTTCTTGGTGAGTCCCTGGGAGGAGGAGGAGGAGGAGGAGGAGGAGGAGGAGGAGGAGGAGGAGGAGGAGGAGGAGGAGCCTGCTCCCCCCTCCGCTGGGTCCTCGCCTCCCCGTGCCGCGCCCCGCCGTGGGGCTGCGGGCGCTCGGCCTCGCGACCGTCCTTTTGGTCGCGCTTGGCGACGCGCTGGCTTCACACTCCTTGGCGCCGCTCGAGCGTGTGCATCGAGTGCACGTAAGAGTGCCCTTTCGCGGGAGTGACCTTTGGTGCGGGCCCACTGGGGCCCCCCCCCGATCGCCTAACGCGAGGAGAGCAGCGGCTCGCGCGCCTGGTGGTGTCCCCAAAGGGCCCCCCTTGGCCGCGCACTAAAGGTCACTCTTGTCTAGGGTCACTCTTGCGAGTAGCCGAGTGCATTTTTATCCCGGCGAGGACCATCGTGAAGCATCTTGGATCCTCGTGCGAAACATTCCCGCACGAAACTGGACAATGCCCTGGGAATGGAGGTCCGAGCGATGGCGAGGTTCGGTCCCCTGCGGTGCTCGCCTCAACTCGGACTTTGGCTCCGTGAGGCGAGGGGCCTCGACTCATGTCTCAGGGTGACGGCCCGAGCACCCCAAGGCCGATGCGCATTCCGCACGGGGAACCCCCGCCGAACCGGTCCACTTCCCCTCATAGAAGGCGGGGGGGCGACGGCAACGCCGCTAGGGGGGTTGTGAAATCCTTTCCGCTTCGCTTCGATCTTTTCCCGGGGGCCAGCCGCGTTGCACAGCTGAGTTGAAGGCCCCCAACAGCTCCACCAGTACCACTTCCTCTCTCTTCTTCCCCTGGTCCCACTTGCCCGCCTCGACCTGGGTTCTCCCAAGCAGCTCCATAACCAGGAACGCTCCATTCCAGATGCAGCCAGCCATGTTGCCACATGACCTGGCTGCCATAGAAAGTTGCGTGTGGCAATGTCAGCGACGCCCTGGGCCGCGCGTTCTTACAAGACAGGCCCCAGGTGACTTCCTATTGAAATTCGTTCCCACAGGGCCTGGGTTTGAACCAGCCGACGAAACACCCAGACAAGAAAATTACGATCGCTCCTCCTCCTCCTCCTCGTCCTCCTCTGCTCCTCCTCCTCCTCCTCCTCCTCCTCCTCCTCCTCCTCCTCTGCTTCTCTTCCTCGTCCGTTTCCTCTCGACTCTCCCTCCGCTTCATGTATTATCTAGCATTCCCACTTGCTCTGCCTTCTCGTCTTCTCCTGCTCCAGGCTCACGATTGTCTCGACCGCCTTGCGACCGTGTTTCCCGCAGTTTGTGCGTCTCAGCTCCTTGTCGAAATTAATGCCGGCTTTAATTTCGATGGATGTTCGTTTTGGACTTGCTTGCAAATGTTCTTTAATTCGAGCACGGCGCTACTTTCGATGTTGATGGCGCCAGGGCCTAGGTCTTTGAACATGGGGCGCCAGTGGATTTCGATCAGGCCCGAGCAGGGGTTTCGATTAGGATATATAGAGTCCCAGCAGAGCTGGCGGGCTTTCGGGGTCAGGCGTTCACTCGGCGGCGTCATGTGCAAGAACTTCTTGCACCCCGTAGACGTAAAGATCCAGAGTGGTCTAGACCTTGGCCAGGAAGGGCCCTGGAGGGCTCCTGAGGTGGCACGGGGTGGTGTCGGGATTCAGGAATGTCCCGCAGGGGTCCCAGAGGGATCCCGAAGGTGTTCGGACAGCGTTGATGACAAGATTGCAGGTTCAGTCTGATGTGGTGCCTTGTTTTCTGTCTGACCGGTACGCTCTGTTCGTTGGGCCTCCACATCTCGTCCTGGAGTGCACGGCGAATGCCCGTCAAACATCGGATTATCGGATTAGGTCGGGCATGTCCCCCTAACTGCGGGTTTTGCACATAAAACAAAAATAGTCAAACAGTATACAAACATAGTCAAGAATATTCGAACAATTGTCCCCATATGCAATCTTGCGACTATTTTGGGATATTCCTCTTGTGGAGGGACATGCCCGACTTACGACTAGGACAGAACGTCGACGTCGGTCCTCTTTCACCGCGGCCCCTGGGCCTGGCCGCCAGGCGAAGCAAAACCTGCAGCGGTCGGTGTTTGGGGGCGGAGAGCGTGCGCCGGCTCCAGCCAGATCGGGGGCCCCATGGCGTGGCCAGTCGAGGGTGCGTAGAGGGAGGGTTATCCTAAGGCGGGGCTGGCCCAGCTGGATGCTCCCGTTTAAAGCGTTTCGTTCTTCGAGGGGCCGTTCTGAGCGATTCTCTTGCCAACCCCACATCTGGCCCCACCCCACCTTTGTGCCCCCCCGAGCCTGTTGTGCTCCTTGCCCTTGTCCCTGCGACCGCCGCCGACGTTGAGCACCTCTTCTCCCGCGCGCAAGTGCACCACGGAACGGTTGATACCGAGGCTTTTGTCAGGTCCACCTGGCACGCACCGTCTGCTGGGGTCTTCGTCCTTGCATTCGCCCTGCAGCCTCCTCCCGCGCAGTCGCATTCGGAGCACTCACCTGCCGAGCTCCTTGGCTCTGTTCACCCTCGTCAGACATGTGCGCATGCACTGCCAAGCGAACATGCTGTTGCAGGTCATCCAGCAAGTCAGTACGTCAGGTCGAACAACTTGTTGGTCATGTCTTCTGATTGGGGTTCGGGCAGTCGAATCGTCTTTTCTGAAGCCCTCATCGAGCTCTAGCTGCTGACGGGATCGCCGACGCCCACGAACCAGTAAATTGTCAGCATGCTTGCCAGATGCATCTCTGTCAGCCGCCCCGTCCCTGGCGCCCCTGTCAGCGCAACAACGCCTCGAGCGGAGTCCTGAACTCACTTGGCGGGCGCACGTGGGCGCAGTCAGGAGGCACGTACGCCCATCGGGCCCTTGGGACAGACGGGCAGCAAGTTCGCGACATGGAGATGATGCAGTATTTAAGAAGGACGAGGGGACGTAAGGGGAGCCGAAGGAGAAGGAGGAGAGGGATGAAATAATAGAAAGCACGTGCGCTCACTAGGAAATGTGAAATATGATATACAAGATTATGCTGTTGTTTAAGATGATGAGGATGCTGATGATAAGGGTGATGATGATGGCGATCTTGATGATGCTGATGATGATGCTGATGATGGTGATGATGATGATGATGATGAGTATGATACTTATTGTGGTGGTAATGGTGATGATGGAGGTGATGGTGATGCTGATCATAATGATGGTGGTGGTGATGGTGATGTTGATGATGAGCATGCTCATGATGAACATGATTGCAATGATGTTGACAATGATGAAGAGGCTGATGATGACGATGACGATCATAATAGTGATGCTGATGACGCTGATGATGATGACGATCATGATGATGGTGCTTGTGCTGGTGCGTGTGCTTGTGATGATGATGATGATGATGATGATGATGATGATGATGATGATGATGATGATGATGATGATGATGACTACGATAATGCTGATGATGACGCTGTTGTTATTGCTGCCGGTGATGCTGCTGATGATGATGACGACGATGACGATGACGACGACTGAGGATGATGATGATGATGATGATGATGATGATGATGTTGATGATGTCACGCGAGATGAGCGGCGAAGGTGGCAAGAGGGTAGGCAGGGCCAGGCATATTGACATTTGGTTCAATACGCAGCAAGCGCAGCCGGGAGCATTCAAATAACAGTTCTTAGGATCGTTAGAAAGGGAACCAGAGGGTACGATGACATACCATCATGTGTTATATTGTTGTTGCTGCTGGTTGTTCGAGACCCTGAATGATGTGAACTTCTCGCTCGTTCCCCATATATTTAGTCCAGGTCCGACATGCAAAGGTGCATACTGATACGATCGGTTGCCAAGTACATTGGAGGGGCATTCTCGGTTTGAATGCTTGCTTGGGTTTGACATTTGAATACAACTAAACCGAACTAAGCTTGGCATGCTTACCGTGTGATGTATACGGCTGGACATTTCGCAACATTGCATTGCGTCCAGAAAGCAGCTCACGTCTGAAGACTTGTCAGTCTCACCGTGACATAGGGCAGGGACTGTCGTTTGAGTACCGACGGTCAGGCTAACACAAAGTTCTAACTCCTCGCGTGCATTGATGTGCGGAATGAATGCGGATAGACATTTACAAATATTGCATTGTCGAGAATGATGGGTGTAGCCAGGTGCGCGAGAGCCCGCTCCATATAGTTGATCGTTTGGCAATGTTCTGTAGCGGCCCACTCGGACTTCAGTCCTAGTGACGCTTGCCCATTTCCCTCCCTTTCCTTGTACGCCTCCCTTGTGCACTATTTCTGCCTCGTCCCCTTCGTTTTGCTCACACCAGCTTTCATCTCTCTCACCGTCTCCCCGCTCATCCTCGGCCTGCTCTGCTCTGTCAGGCCTTCCCTCACCCTCGCTTCGCCAGATGCCCCCCGCTTTCCCCCGCCGATCTCTCCACGACGGGCTTGATCTGTTCACCTCGCCCTTCTTCTCCCTGAGTATCGGGGGTGGACAGGACCCCCACCCTGACACGTCGGTTAGTGCATCGTCCGTTTTCGATTCTCGACAGGGCTCCGCGGCCGTCATTTTCCAGGCTTGCGCCCGCCAGGTTTGGGCCCGCGGTCGTTTTCACTAAACCACGTTTTACGAAAGGGGGTTCTGTCCATGCCCGAGTCTTGGGGACAAGGACGAGGATCAATTGGGGATTCTGGAAACTCGTGGAGGCTGTCTGGGGGCTGTCTTGGGCTATATGGGGCTGCCTTGGGGCTGCCTTGGGCCCTCTTGAGTCTTCTCGAGGACTTCTCTTGGGGGAATCTGTCAATCCCCAATAGCAGCGTGTCGCCGTGAGATCTCGGCGGAGGGCAGCGACTGTCCTCGCAGGCACGCCCTCTGGGGGGTCACCTCCTCCCTCCTGGAGAGCGGGCGCGCAGTGGCCGCTGGCGCCAGCGCCAGATTTGAATCAGGCGTGACCCTCTACAGGAGGAATTTTCAGAAATAGTCCAAACATAGTCCGGGTATATTTTTTAGTATTTTCGAGCAGTTTTAAACATTTTGGGCTATCTCTGTTTTTCCTCCAAAATCCGCCTGTAGGGGGACACGCCCGACCTAACGCTAGACACACCATCTGGTGCGGGTCACCAGCGTGGTTCTTCGATGCGCAAGCCCCAGGGTTTGATCCCCACGACCCCCTCGCGAGGCAAGAGGGGTGTGGGCCACTCCCCCTCTTCTGCGTTGCACGCGCCCCAGCGCCTGATCTTCACCATCCGCGTGAGGGAATGCTGTGATGCGGGCATTCTGTCGCGTGCCCCTTCTGTTTTGATCGCGTCACGCTGCCCGTGTGAAGTATCGGTAATTATGCGGGCCGCAGTTTCCCAGGGTCCAGAAAAAGGGCAGCAGGGGCACAGCATTCTGTCACCATTTCAGGACTCCAAGAGGTCAGGACATGTGATCCAGGCCCCCCCCCTGGCCCATAAACGGCGGAACGGGGCACTGGGCCTAGGCCCCCCACGTCAAGAAAGCGTGGCAGGGGCACCGGGCTTTCAGCAATAGGTTATCTCTCCAGAGGTCCACGAGCGTGCAGCAGGGAACTGGGCCCTAAAACCGCTTCAGGCCTACAGGACCCCAAGGAACAAACTCGCCGGCAAGCGTACATTCAAATCAACAGGGTGCGAGAGCCCATGGTGGAACACTGGCATCCTGCTCGTATGGTGCGTTGCTGGGATTCCTGGTACTTTGCAAGCGTGATGTTTTGTCAACCGATGCTTGTTTCCGAACGTCATTGGTAGAGGGATCTGCGATTGGTCGAACGAAGAGTCATATTACTTGGTTCTCCTGGGTTCAAGTTAGGGAGGGCCTGTGGCGGTTGGGGTCTTCCGAAGCGCTCTGTGGATGCCCGTGAGTCTGACTGAGGCACCCTGGGTCCACTTCGAAGCCCCAAACAGCGTTCTAGAGCAGGATGTGGTGCACACAAAACATCCAACAAACACTACGATTTCGAACGATGCTGGCTGTCGGCCTATCATAGGCAGCCTGCATTCCTTGATGGAAGTTTTCTAGGAACGTCGTTGGATTTGGTTTCTTTTGCAAAGTCGCTGAAGCTTTTGTTTGCAAAGTCGGTGGATTTGATTGGGGGATGCTCTTGGGGCCGTCGTCAGCCTACTTTAGACTCTCGTGCCCGTCGTGGGTCGTCTAAGCTTCGCCCGTCTTGGGACCCGACTTGAGGCTTTCTGAAGCAATCAGGAGGCGAGAACAGCGAATAACAGTAATCAGCATTTGAAACTTCGCGCTAGCAAACGCTTGTTCTGGTTGGGGCGCGCCTGGACGTGATATTGTGGCTCGTCTGCGAACGCTTTTGGGGCGAGCGGATGATCGAGGCGGCGTGCTTGAGTATTGTTCTGGGACGGCTTTGAACATCGCTCTGCCCTGGGTGTAGTATGTTCTTCCCCGTTCAATCCCCACCTGGGGGAAGCATATGTAAGGCTAAGTCGGGCCTGTTGCTCTACAGACGAGGGGACGAGGTTTTGAGTATTGTTGGGCATTTCTGGTGTATTGTTTGAATGTTTACACTTTATCGTCCAAAATCCGCCCGTAGGGGGACACGCCCGACCTAACTGTAAGGGCCTGGTGCGAAACGTCGGCACGCATCGGCCTTGGCTCCTCGGTGCTGATCCGGTCTGCTCAGGCCTACTGTGCCTTCATCTGTTTTGAGTCAGGAGGGCAGAAGGCGGGGAGAGGGAGGAGGGAGGAGGGAGGAGAGAGGAGGGAAGAGGGAGGAGGGGGGAGGGAGGAGGAGCAGGAGGAGGAGGCCGAGGCGGAGGAGGAGGAGGAGGAGGAGGAGGAGGAGGCCGAGGCGGAGGAGGAGGAGGAGGAGGAGGCGGAGGAGGCGGAGGAGGAGGAGGAGGACGAGGCGGAGGAGGAGGAGGAGGAGGAGGAGGAGGAGGAGGAGGAGGAGGAGGGAGGATGGGGAGGAGGGGGAGGAGGAGAAGGAACTCCCTGCCGCCCCACGCGAGCCCAAGCGACGGGGCGCGACGGGGCGCGGAGCCCACCGAGGCATGCGCACCACGAACGGCCACAACTTCGGGGCCCGGCAGGCCGAGCCCCGCGCGCACTTCCTCGAGGAGCGCGGGGCCTTGGGGGGTGCTGGACCGCTGGAGGGCGGGGCGACGGGGCACGAGGATCGCCGCGAGGAGGAGGAGGAGGAGGAGGAGGAGGAGGAGGAGGAGGAGGTGCAGGAGGAGGAGGAGGAGGAGGAGGTGCAGGAGGAGGTGGAGGAGAGGAGGAGGAGGAGAGGAGGAGAAGCAGGAGAGGAGGGAGGAGGAGGAGGAGGAGGAGTGGGGAGGATGAGGAGGAGGAGGAGGAGGAGGAGGAGGAGGAGGAGGAAGAGTTGGAGGAGGAGGAGGAGGAGGAGGAGGAGGAGGAGGAGGAGGAGGAGAAGGAGGAGGAGGAGGAGGAGGAGGAGGAGGAGGAGGATGAGGAGGAGGATGGAGGAGGAGGAGGAGGAGGAGGTGGCGGAGGAGGAGGAGGAGAAGGAGCATGGGAGAAGATGAGGATGGAGGAGGACTTGTCCGAGATGAAGAGCTTGTCCCGGGGAACGGCCCGGGGTCTAGGACCCGTTTTTGACAGGACGCGCCTGCTTCGTGCGCGGAGGAGGAGGCAAGGCAAGGCAAGGCAGGCGCTTGGGGTCGTCATTTCCAGTCTTGAGGGCTCAGTGACCCCTGCGAGGGATATGGACGCAGGCCCCCCCGTCATTTCAGACGAGGCTGGCCTACGCGTCCCAGATACATAGAGCACCGAAAAACTCGGCCCTGGCAGGCGACACGGCGGTGAGGCCCTTTGGCCTTCCGAGCGGGGGGCTAGTAGCCCCCTCCGCTCCCTTTCCCCCTCTCCCCGAGGGTTGGGGCCCGAAGCCATCCGCCAATCGAGGCCGAGGGCAAGGGGGAGCTGGGACTTACCTGCGGGGGGGGGCGGTCCAGGCCTCCTGGGCGTGGGGCCCCCTGGAGGCACATCGTGCACGTGCAATCGCGGGCCCGTCTGGAACTAGTCAGAGGGTCGTGGCTCCACCGTCCGAGGAGGGTCCGCCGCCCCGCAGGCGCAAGAGGCGCGCAGCGAGCGAGGGGAGGAGAAAGGGGAGAGGACAGCCGAGGGTGCAAGCCCGAGAGCGAGGCCCCCGGGCCAGGGGGGGGAACGAGAGGGGAGCGGGGGGAAGCCGCGGGACGGCGACAGCCGCGGCACCCAGTGGGTGGCCGAGCGGAGCCAGCCAGCGCTCTTAACAACAGGTGACGACGCGCCAAATGCGTGCCGTCTTCTTTGTTTTATCTTGGCACCGCAAGTGTATGCAAATCCCCGTTTCGCTGTATGACTCCAATGTTTGTCCAACTATTCAATGCATTGGTAACTTCGTCCAGTGCGTAAACACAACGCAATGCTTGAAACATGTGTTCTGCACAGCGTGGTTCCTCCGAAGATCCGCTCAAGACGTCAAACACGGCATCAATAACATATTGGTATTGATTTGTCAGACGATCCATGTTGATTGTTGCTTCGGTGTCTGCAACCGCGCCCACCATCTCGTCAAACATTTGTTTCAGCGCAACAGCATGTTCCCTCGTCCTCCCAGGCGTTTCTGACAACCCAAGAAATGCTTCATTCAGCTATTCGAGTGTTGTTCGGTCATTGTTGGCAGCTGCAAGGCAAACCTATTCCTTCAACATGTGGGTTATGGTATCCAGCGAAGCCTCTCCCGCGCGAGACGAATCATCCAACTCTTTGGGCTGTGTTGTATCACCGCAAATGACAAGGGTAGGAACCACAAGAAGCTTCGGGACATGTGGTGTCGTCATGTTGATGCTTTGGAAAACGTCACCAAAGTTTTGAATAAGAATGAATTCGCTGTGTCTTTTTCTTCCATAACGCAATCCAGCCCTCCCATCGGCCAGTTCTGCTTGGCGCACTTGCGGATGAGATCCATTTCATTAAGCCCTTAGCCATCGCCATCAGGGTCGTGCTCTGCAGAGATGAGTTCAAGCTGCCTTGTGTTCGATTCGATGCATTGTCGTATTCTGTCAAGGTCTGGTCGGGATATTTCAACCACACTTCCAAGACCGATCAATAATTCTTGCGGTTGCCGCTTCATCTTGCCAGGGTGATGCAAATTGCATTTGTTGAAATTCGCAATCGCCCAACGAAACGTGTGTTTTGAAGTTGTCGCCTCTTACACCGAATAGAAAACCAGGGCCAATGAGATGGTTCGCGCTCTTCCGAAAGTAGCACATCGAGGTGCAATAGCACGAGACATGCAACGTGCAGTGCAAAGTACGGTGAGCGGATAAAAATGCTGGCGTTCTCTCCCTCGTCTTTCTCGTGGTTCCCCCTCGCTTGGCCGTGTCCATTATCGGATGGGGGGGGGCGAAGCGCGCCGAGGGGGGGACTTTATGTGTGTGGCGCGGCCGAGCACGTTCCTGAGCTCCTCACGGCGGCTTGCAGGAGGAGGAGGAGGAGGAGGAGGAGGAGAGGAAGCGGATTGTGTCCTGGCGCCCGTAGTGAAAAACGTATCCGTATCCGCGGCCTCGCAGGCCGTTCCCTTGGTCCGCGACCCCGTGGAGACGGGCGGTTTTTTAGCGGATGCCCCGCACGGAGCGCATCCGTGCGATTGCGTATCCGCAGGATGGCGACCCGAAACCCAGACCGCGAGGGCGTGGACATGGATACGTTTCGCCGCTCGTGAGGTGCGGACGAGCGCTTACGGTAGCACCCGCGAGGTCTGAGGCAAGGCCGAAGCGAAAAAATGAGTTCGAACACATCCGTTTTCTCTTCATGGCGGAGTGGCAGCGCAAGTTGCTGCGCACCGAGGGCCACCCTTCTTCTGAGGCCGCCAGTGGCTTCGAGCTGCGAAGAAGAAGGAGGAGCAGCAGCAAACGGGGGAGGAAGACGAGGACGCAGAGGGGGAGGAGGAGGAGGAGGAGAACGAGGAGCAGAAGGGGGAGGGGAGGAGGAGGAGGAGGAGGAGGAGGAGGACGAGGAGCAGAAGGAGGGGGAGGAGAAGGGGCGGAGGGAGGTCCACGGCCAGAAGCTGCAAATGGGGCATCTGTGAAGCAGACAGCGGCGCGCCCCACATCACGACGGTAGAAACACAGCGCGCGTCATGCTTCGCGATGGTTCGTCTACAGTCAACCACGATGGTAAGGATGGGCAACCTTCCCAAGGGTACCCTTGCATCCTTGCCTCCTCGGTCCATCCTTCGCCGCTTTCGCTTGCCGCGCCTCATCTTGGAAATGGGCGTCCAAGGCCCTTGCATCCTTACCGCGCATCCTTACTGTACTGGTTGACCGTACCAGCCACGATACCCGGCGCGAGGCCTTGGCAAGACTGCGCTGACCGTGCGCGCGTTCCTAGCGGTGCTGTTTTGCGCGCGCCGCGCGTGCTTCCAGACTGGAGCGGCGGTGCATGTTCTGTGACGTCGCGGGCCCCACCAATCGCTGCATTCGCTCTGCGCCGTTTGGCAAGCTCAAGCCCGGGGCTCAAGGTAGGCTTCAAAGTAGGCTTCAAAGTTCCATCCCTCCACAGTCAGCAACATGGCGTGCGCGCATCTGGCGTGCCCGTTCTTCGGCGCGCTCCCGGCGTCAGCCGACGAGCAGGGCCGATGCCGGCGCTGCGGCCAGGCGCTGCCCGGCGCTGCTGCTACCGCCGTTGCGGCGGCGGGGCCGCCGATGCCGCCAGGGCTTCCCGCTCCGGGCGCTGGCTCTGCGGCGGCGGCCCCAGCGAACATGGACACTGGCGCTACGCACGGCATGTCGGCTCTGCGGATGGGCGCGGACGAGGACTCGGAGGCGGGGCACTTGGAGGCCATCGAGGTGGACGACGACAACATCGCGAGGACGGGAGCCTCTGCTGCTGCTGCTGGGCCCTCCTCGGCTCCTGGTCATCTCGCGCCTGGGCTCACAGTCTCTCTTCGGGACGAGCTCATGGTGGACTTCGTCGAGGAAGAGGTCATGGTGCACTTCCCCTGGGTCGCTGCGGCGAACGCGGGGCAGGCCGCCACCGGTAGCCCAGCGGTCTCCTACCCGACATGTTGGGCGGACCTCCAGGGCATTTTGCAGAAGTTGGGTTACGGAGTGACCGCCGAGGAGGCCTGGCATCTCCTGGGCCTGGCGATGCTCGATGGTCCGGACCCGTCGGAGCTCATGATTGCCAACAGGCGCCGCACGGCCGAGCAGCTCTGCGAGCTCGCTGTGGCCCCTCCATGGGCGGATGGGGATCTCGCCCTCGCGCGGGGGTTCGCTGCCAAGGTCAACGATGCGGCGGCGACTTGCGTGTCTGCGCTGCCCGTGGCTCTGGCCCAGCGCCGGCGTCTCAAGGTGCCACGGCTCCCCCTCCACAAAGAGCTGGGTGCAGTCGCACTGAGTCTTCTTTCGAACAATCTGCCGGGGGGGACTTGCATGGCCACTCAATGGTCTGGGATATTGGGAGCTGAGCTCCAGACGGCCTCGGACATTGCCGCCGCGCGACGGTTGGCGGGCTGGGCGGAGAAGGGGGATGAGAGCTTCTGGGCGCAGGTCACTGGGAGGCAGGTGGCACTATGGGCCCCCACGGACCAGAATGCGCTCACCAGGTTCCTCTCCCAGTTCATGCGTCGCACGGCCGCGGCAGAGCGCCCGGCGGTCCTCTACCTCCTCGCCCCCGTGCCGCTGCAGGCAGGCATGGGGACACTGGAGACAGTTCTGGACCTCTGGCACTCCCCGCTCTTGTCAGGGAAGTGGGCCCCCATCGTGCGGGCATACACGCTGACCTTGACACCCATGGAGATGCTGCTTCCGGGCGGTGGGTTCCCGCGTCACGTGTACCAAGGCCTCGCGGTCTTCCATCTTGGCCACACGGAGCCGCGGGGGCTCCCGCGCTTGCTGGAGCCGCACGCCGCCATCTGCACCGTGGAGGCGCCCAGGGTGATGGTGTTGGACCTCCGGGCAGACGAATACAACCGGACCATGAACCTTCTCACGAACAGCGTCTTGCAGGGCGTCCTCAGCCGCGCACCGCGGCGCAGCCCATTGAGCACTACGGCGATTCCTCGCCTCTGCTTGGACTGGATATTGCCTCCAACAGTCCAGGACATGGACATACT